GGAGAAGGAGAAGGAGAAGGAGAAGGAGAAGGAGAAGGAGAAGGAGAAGGAGAAGGAGAAGGAGAAGGAGAAGGAGAAGGAGAAGGAGGAAGCAAGTAGGACAGGGTTCAAGAAAAGGGGGCAGGGAGCCTTCTGGAGCTCACAGTGCTTTGCTGGTTCTGGGTGGTGGTTCCTCGGGCACATGCATGGGCAGATGTTCATCCACACCTCAGATTGCGCACACAGCTACGTGTGGCTCATCCCCAGGGTAGTTCACAGTTTTCCTACAGGAAAATGAAAAGTGGAGCAGGTGCGAGGTGGGTGTCAAGTGTGTCCGGTGTCAAGACCGCCGCGTCACTAGCACCGTGTGAGCGAGGGAGGGTTGTGGCTGTGCTGGTCCTGACCCATTCAGCCGCCCTTTGGAGCAGCCGCCTTCCTTGTCTCTTCCAAGTTCTGTGTATGCTGCCCCAAGGACCGTACTTTGAGAACTGCTGATTGATTAGAGGCAAAACGGGACAGTTCACAGATTGCCCGGAAAAGAGCGCGCTAGAAATCCTGAAAGATGTCCCATATGTCAGTTCCTTATAACATCTGCCCAGCTGTCCCTGGGGGCCGGTGACCCTTGTGCTGTCCTCTTCGGTTCCGCTGATCTGACACTTGCACCCACTGTGAATTGTGAAATTCCTGGAGGGCTGGGCTGCGGGGCTCCTTTCTGCCCGCCTCGGGCACCCCGGAGCCCAGCACTGTCCCAGCCATGGGCGCCAGGTCCCACGCAAGTTTCTCCGCTCTTCTCTCTCCCTCGTACCTGCTCTTCCCTGAACGAAAGGCCTCGCTCCCCTCCTCCTCTGCCTGGTGCCCCCTCCCTTTTCCTCCCCATTCCAGGAAGCCTCTCTGGAATCTCCGCAGTGAGTCCGGCCCGCCCATCTCTCTCCCGGAGTTAGGCTCTTTGGGGGCCTCCCTGCTGGGTGGATCATGGATCGTACCTGGCGGAGAGGACTTCCGCAGGAGGCCCAGTCCTGCTGCAGACGGACACTGACGGATCCCGGGTGTATGCACGGCCTGCCCACCGTCTGGTGCCCATGGGCGCAGTTTATGGGCCACTTATCTGGCGTTCCTGGGACCTGGTGCCCTGTGTTCTTGTTTGCTAACCTTGGCGGCCTATTTAGCCCCCTGAGCCTGTGTGCTCTGGGCACCCAGGACGAGGACCTGCTGTCCCCACCACGTGCACCCCCTGTAGTCCACCTGCGCCCGGGCCTCCTGTTCATTGTTCCCTGAGTTCCACGGCAACCCTGCAGAGCGCTTGCTGTGATGGCCCACTATCCAGAGGGGGAAACTGAGGCCTGCGGTGGGACTTAGGAACTGTGTTGGGGAAATACAGGCCAGCATAAGCCATCTAACAGCAAAGGTCCAGGCCCTTTCCTGTCAGTGTGTGAGGTGAGTGGAGCCCGGGCAGGACGGGAGGCAGAGGCATCAGGCGGGCACGGCAGCGCGGCACTCAGATGTCATCAGGGCTGCCTTTGCCCCTGGCACTCTTGAATCTCGGGGAGGTAAAGTCAGCCCTGAGCTGGGTTTGCTTGGGGAAGCTGCTCCGAAGAGTCCCTGTGTCCCTGCCTATCCTCCTGGGCTCGGAAGGTCCCGCTCCCCAGCCCCGGCCCCAGCTTGCGCGCTGAGTCTGCTTGCTGCAGACGAACAGTACGTCGGGGGTCACAAACGAGGCGCAGAGACACGAAAGGTCACAGCACGTGTGATTCCGTTTATATGACACTCGCAGCGTTGTGAAGACCTTAAGGACCAAGCCAGCGGGTGGCTGTGGGCCAGGGAGCGGCTGCTGCGGTGTGCGGGGTAAGGTGGGGTCACTGCAGCCGTGTCACAGGGACGTGGCTTTATCCCGAGAGCAGCTGGAACCTGTGCAAGTGATTCCAAGCACGGGGGCATGTGGTGCGCAGGGTCCTTCGGGTGCTGCATAAAAGTGAGTGAGGTGTGCTCATGGCCAGAAAGAAATAGCAAGACAGAGAAGGCAGAGGCCGGCTCTGGAACCAGGGCTGCCACCATCAAGGCAGGACAATGACCTGCCTTGGGCCCAGGGGACAAGATCTTGGCAGGGAGAGAGGCGCTGCGCTGTGGGGTGCACATTTGCCGTTAAAGAGAACCGACAAGGAACGCATTGTGGACCTGGGGAACCCGCGGCGGATGGCGGAGCGGTGAGCGGGTTGTGCTGTCCCTGCGTGCTTCCGGGTCGCGGGCACAGCAAGAAGTTGCCACAGGAAGTGCATGGGGTCAGAAGCTCTTCAGGCAAACAGGGCGTTGGGCGATCATTCTTGCTGGGAGGGGGAGGAGGTGGCTGTCAAGGAGGAAGAGGAGAAGTTGCGATCTTTATTTCAACTCAAGGAAGAAGTTAGTCAGGGCCTCTCACCTTCCTCCTTCCGACTTCCCCGTAACCTGCTGGAAAAGAAAAGATGATTATCATGTCCTGGGTATCAGAATACTAGGAAGCGTGAAGAACACCTCGAGGACCCTGGACTGAGCTCCCCTGTCATCAGAGGCTCCAGGTGCTTCGTGTGACTTCCTTGCACACCTGCAGCTCTTCCTGCAGGTCCTGGGCTCTCAGAACTTGGCTGTGTCCCCCGTCCCTTTCCTTGGGTTATTTAAAATGTCCTGTGGAACTGGTCTATGGTACCAACTATGGTCAGTAGGGGGCACTGTCTAAAATGTGGTGGGTACTAGCCCAAGAACCCCAGTTCAGGATTCTAAATACATAATTTGTCACTGTGCTGTGTCTGTATTGCAAGGTCCAATTCTATCAATATGTTTGCTTTTAAAACATTTACATGAGGCCGGGTGTGGTGGCGCATGCCTGTAATCCCAGCACTCAGGAGGCTGAGGCAGGAGGATCGTTGCAAGTTCGAGACCAGCCTGGGCTACAAAGTGAGCTCAAGGCCAGCCTGAACTGCATAGCAAGACCCTGTCTAAAAAAGACAGAAAAAAAAAAAAATTCACATCAGGTCATGTGTGGTGGTACGTGCTTATAATCCCAGCACTCAGGAGGCTGGGGCAGGAGGATCATTGTGAGCTCAAGGTCAGCCTGAACTCGAACTATGTAGCCAGACCCTGTCTCAAAAACAACCACCGGGCATAGGGGCGCACACCTGTAATCCCAGCACTTGAGAGGCTGAAGCAGGAGGATCACTGCAAGTTTGAGGCCAGCCTGGGCTACATAGTGAGTTCAAGGCCAGCCTGAAGCACATAGTGAGACCCTAGCTCAAAAAAAAAAGAACAGAAAAACCCCAGTCATATGAGTAACTGCCGACTGGACACAACCCAAGTGCCCGTCCACAACAGAGCGGCTAAATAAGTCATGATCAACTCCACTGTGGGGTTCCAAGTCCCCAGGAAATGAGCCAGCCGTCACACACACGGCACCACGCGTGAGTCTCACTTCCGATGCTGAGCAGAGGAAGGCAGGCGCGGACGGAATGTGCTTTGTGCGTCACCCTTTCTCTAACACCTAGCAAAACTGACCCATGGTGACAGAGATGGTGACAGAGTGGCGGGTGGCAGTTGATGAGACGCTCCGGGGCAGTGCTGTCTGTCCCTTGACTCTTGGTGTGTGCCATGCTGGGGAGGATGCTGTGCTCACCAGCCCCTGGTCTTCCCACAGATCGACGGGCAGCTCGAGCTGAAAGCCAGCGAGGAAGAGAAAGTGGTGCAGGCTCTGCCACCCAAGGAAGCGTGCAAATGCCACAAGGAGGATTTGGCGAAAGCGCTTGCCGTAAGGACCGAACTTGTCCCGATGCCAGCAGTGGTGAGGTTTCTAGGTGAAGAGTAGGCAGCACAAGGCCCTGGAACTCAGCACACGTAATGACGCACACGCTCATCAGCCACCCTGCTTGGGGAGTGCTAACGAAAGCCCAGCAGTGGTCAGGCATAGGAACAGTGCCCAGCAGCCGGCAGAGGGTGTCTGAAGCCACCTTCTCCTGCGCGCGTCCTCAGCTCTGTGTTGAGTCCAGTTCTTAGGGGCAGGGAGGGAGTCTTTATTCCCTGCCTAGCAAAGTAGCTGGACTTTTGTTCCTCACTCGAAAGAATGTAAGAACCCAATGAGCTTCGTGTGTCACCTCCACCACCAGCGTCTTAGTGGTGTAGAGAACACCTGCCCGATGTGCCCCATCACCGCTAGCGGGCTCCAACACTGCTCTCATCCTGCAGAGGTGACACTCTGTCCTCACGCAGTACCACCTCGCTGCAGCACTCTGCCCAGCCGTTTCCTTCGGGTCCCTATGAAGCTCACCGTTCTGTGTCCCTCATAGGAATCCTACAGCCTTTCTCCTGGGACTGCTGTATCTAGCTACTTACTCCTCGCAGTGTCTCCCTGCTAAGCAGGTGTCTCAACTTCCTTTCTCTTTTCTGTTTACCTTTTTGGTGGTAGTGCTGGGGCTTGAGCCCAGGGGTGCTCTACCACTGAGCTACATCCTTAGCCCTTTTTATTTTTTATTTTAAGAGAGGATCGCTCTAAGTTACCCCGACTGGGCTCAAACTTACAACCCTCCCACTCTCGCCTCCTAAGTAACTGGGATTACAAGCCAAGCATGCACCGTGGCGCCCGGCTAGAATTTCTTTTCCTTTTAAAGCTAGCTGGCATTTCCTTGTGCCTGCCCACCACACTGTGTGTATCCCTTCACCTATCAGGGAATCCGGGTTGCTTCCAGCCTTGGCTGTTGAAAATACAGCTGCGGTGAGCAGGGCATGCAAACATCTCTGTGAGACCTGCTTCCAATCTTTTCGGGCACGTGGCCCCAGCAGCGGAATTGCTCAGTCACCTGGTAACCCAGCGCTTACTTTTAGGGGAACTGCTGAACCATTTCTTAGTGCTAACTGTTGGCCAGTTCTAGCGGCCACACCACTTACATTCCATATGCTCTTTTTATTTTTTTAAGTGAAGATAAAAGTGTGTGTCTGTATTTCCATTCGCTAAAACGTAGGTCCAGGACCACGCTCTGCTGTAATGGTTGGGTGGCCATGTGTTCTTATGGACAAAGAATGGGACCACGCCTTTTTGTTCTCTCTGCCCCATCCTCAGGCGTCTTCGAGCAAGAACCTGTGCTCTGAGGTCAAGCCCCCTTTCCTAGTCCATCCCAGAAGTGATGGGCTGTAGGGTGGGGTGCACACCTTGGGCCCCTCCATCCATGCTGGGCCCACTGGCGAGCAGGTCTGTGCTGTCTCCCTCCAGGTAGACCTGGACACGGGCCTGTCCGAGGGCGCAGTGACGCAGCGCAGGCTGGTACATGGCTGGAACGAGTTTGTTGCTGACAACACAGAACCTGTGTGGAAGAAATACCTCGATCAGGTGGGCCTGCGGGTGTCCTCCTCGGCCTTGCTGGGCTTTAGCCAGGACGGGCAGGGCTGCCATTGACTCTTCAAATATTGATTGAGGGTGTCCTCGGACAGGCCCTGCCTGGGGATGGGGCAGGTGCGCTACAAGATAAGAAGTGCCCTTCCTCCTTTGAGCTCCTCGGAGAAGCGGGAGGAGGTTCCCGGCAGCCACCATGAGGCCTGAGGGGGACTGTGGGGTGAGCACTGGCCGCATGCCAGGCGCCCAGCTAAAGGAGTGAGAAAATAAGCAGCCTTCACTTATGAATCTTCCTCCTTGTCCCCACGTGATGGGGGTGGGGTGGGAAGAGGAGAAGCACTGAAATATCGTCCCAGGGTGTGTGAGGTGACAAGACACAGTGAACAAGAAATGCCCTGTGGAACTGGAATTTCAGGTAGATAAGCAAGGGACAATTTTTAAGTATAAGCATTTTCAACTACTGCGGTAGACTTTTTTTTAAAAAAAAATAGTTCCTTGTCCATCTAAAATTCAAACTTCACTGCACATCCTGTATTTTTTCTGGCAACCTGAGTCCGGAGTCACATACACACGCAGCAGTCAGGGATGACGCTGAGAAATGGCGCCGGAACGACCTGCGCTGCTCACCTGCTGTCGTCAGGTGTCAGCCTGTGCAAAGCTGAGGGTGCACAAGCTTACGCCTAGAACCCACTGGGAAGAGGAGCGGAAACACTGAAATAGCCACAGCTGCAAGTTCCCGTGCAAAGTCAGCACCCTGCCACCCACCCAGGACTAGCTCAGAGAGGCTCAGTCAACAAGGAGGGTTTTTTAGGCTCCTGAAGGTATCCGGTCTCCACACCGGCCTCTCATACCCTCTCAGTGGCATCCCTGATGTCCCCTCTCCTGGACAGCCTTAGGCTTTAGCTGCTTCCTATTGGCGCCAAGTTTCAGGCTTTCTTCATCGGTCAGTTCAAGGACCAATCACAGTCCTGCAGCATCTTCACTCTACAGTCTCCTTGTGGTCTGCTGCTTCCTATTGGCTCCTGTTTCAAGCTTTTCTGATTGGTCAGTTCAAGGGCCTATCACAGCCCGGCACCATCCTCAATCTGCATTCTCCTCCTCCCCATTATTAGTCAGTTCTTGGTAGGCTGGGGGTGTCTTTATTCACTCCTCTTGGTACCATAATAGGCTCCTAGTGGCACTGGTGGCCCTGGCCAGCCCAGAAGCTTCCTGGAAGCCCAGTACTGGGGAGAGGCAGAAGAAGGAGGGTCCTGGAAGTTGGCTGTGGGCTCCATCAGCTCTGCCCTGCTTCCTTTTCAACCAGGACCCCATCCGTGTCCCTGTAGTCCTCCTTCCCAACTCTGCCTGTTGCCACCTGCTCTGGGCCTCTGCTGCCAGGCCTCCCAGGATGAAATCTTGGGGTTCCTGCAAGCCAAGGACGCTTTCATCTCCTTCCTGTTGGTTCGGAGCTGTGTCTGCAGGGATCCTTGCTGGAGCCCCGGGAGCTGCTCAGCACGGAAGTCCAGTCTGCACTCGCTCGTTCCTTCCTCACACTGCTGCCCTCCCGCGTGGGCCTGGGGTTGTGGCTTCCTGTCTGCTGCTCTGATGACAGGGAACCTGCCACTCACAAGGCAGCCTCGCTGTGCTGTCTCTGGAGTTACTGGTAGGGATTCTCCCCTAGCGTGACCAAGACACATGGGCCCAGAATCGAGGGAGATATAGATTAGAATCAGATTGTTCCGGTCAAGCCCCAGTCTCCGGCTTGGTCACGCTGAAGATATTGTTAAACTCCCTTGGGCCTCAGCTTTTCCTGTCTAGAAAATGAGAATAAGGCATACCCGATGTTGTGAATTCCGCTAAACAGAATGTGCCTGGCAAACATCATGAGCAGGACTGGCCTTGCTCCTCCGCCCGCTCTTCCCTGCCTGGGAACGTACACAGCCTCTAAGAGCGTGGCCTTTAGTCCGGCTGAGCTCAGTGCACACCCTGGGGCCAGTCAGTCACCTTCAAGCTTAGGCCACTCATTTACCAAGCAAGAATCCATAGCAGCGCCTGCGTCAATGGTCAGTTTCCCCACAGGGCTCTGCATGGCTGGTTTGTTAGGATCGGGTCTGAACAAAGCCCACCCTTTGCTCTGTCTCTTAACTGTCCCTTCACTGGCCTCTGAAGGTCCGCAGGGTTTCATCTGTACACGAGCCTGCCCTGGGCACTGGTGAGGCCTGGGTTCCTGTGAGGCTCGCCTGCTGTCCCGCCCAGCTGTCCCCATCCCAGGACTTCAGTCACAAGCGTTGGGCCCAAAGCCACGCCGGCTTCATGGTGCAGCTCTTCCTGAAAGGTGGGGTGCTCCCAGCGCAGCCTGCCCAGCCATTCCCAGGCAGCCCTGGTCAGAAGGAACCGGAGCCTTCCTCTCCTTCACCAACCCTGCTCCAGCGGCCATTTTCCAGGAGTCAAGGGGCCCCCTCCCCGCTTCAGCCAGTGTTTCCTGAGGGCTTTCCGTAGTCCGCCTGCCTCCTGGTGGCTGCCGTCTATTGCTGCTACTCTGTGCTGGCCGCTGGGCAGCCCCTCTGCTCTCACTGCCACACATCCCAAGAGCCAGGAGAGGGCCAAGGCTGCTCAGAGAGACAATGGCGCAGGCAGAGCGGGGGCATCCGGGCACACGGCTCAGTGTGCAGGCAAGCTTGGCTGGCTGCGGTGCTCAGGGCTGGGATGCGGGCGGTGAAAGGACCCTCTGCATCCCCGAGGCCCTAACAGGAGCGTCCTAGAGATGCAGCGAGAGAGACCCAGAGCTCAGAGGCGGGGCCAGGCCCTGCGTCTGGTGCAGCCGTGGGTTTCAGCTCTCTTCCAGCCCTCGGCCCTGCACAGGTGGCCCGGAAGACCCGAGTCACGCTCCTGTGCAGGAGACACCCAGGGAGCTCTGAGGACAAGACCCGCTGTCTGTCTTTCAGTTCAAGAACCCCCTGATCCTGCTGTTGCTGGGCTCGGCCGTGGTGAGCGTGCTCACCAAGCAGTACGAGGACGCCATCAGCATTGCCATGGTGAGCAGCTGCGTTCAGGCTGCCGGGGCCTCTGCTTATGCTGCTGGGCAAGGGCAAGGGCAAGTCGGCCACAGAGGGAAAGTAGAAAATAGAGCAGAAAGCGGCAAACCCTGTCTGTCCCTCCCCTGGCAGCAGGCTCCTACGGGGCTCTCTGCTCCTGATGGTCACAGCAGTCTCCTGCCAAGCAGGAAGTCACAGCAGACTCATCTCCTGCCCCAGGATGGGGTGCTGGTTCCAGGTTGTGTGTGTTTCTGTGACAAAGAGCCATGGCCTTGCGTCCGTTGTCCAGAGAGAGCTCTGTGCACCTTTTTGAAAAAAATTAGTTCAGTGAAATTCACGAAAAATACCAACCACTTTAAAGTGAACAACCTGGTCATAATACTTTGCAACAATGACCTCTGCTGGGTTCCCAACACGGGCATCACCCCAAAAGGAAACCCTACCTCTGTGGGCAGCCTTTGCCTGCCCCTCACCCCTGGAGACCACCCTGCCTCTGCAGCCTGACCTCCTCTGATTTGTCCCAGAAGTGGGCTTGCAGCCTGAGGCCTTTGCTCCCTGATTCTGCAGCCTCCCCCCATGGCTGTCATTCCCACTTCTCTTAGCACAAGTTACGCTGTCAAAACACAGAGGCAGCCTCCGGCGGCACGGTGAACTTGGTTGCTGCTAAGAGGCCGAGGTTAGATTTGCATCTGCAGGTATAGAGTGAGGGTTTCCCTGCGTGGCCTGAAAACAAGGATTTCTCTGACACGATGCTGTTCTGAAAGTGTGTCTGGGTAGGGAAATCAGATGGCTTCTCAGTGTGTGAGCCCGGGGGGCATGGTAGGGGGTTGCTGCGATTTCTCTGCTTGCTTGGGGGCTGCAGTTTCTCAGTTTCGCACAGAGCACTTATTTTGCAAAAAGAAAAGCGGTGTGTGCAGAACAGCACCGCCCCAGCTCGCTGGCCTGGCCCGCTCTGGCCCAGCCGCTGGTGCTCAGGCCTCCCCCCCGCTCATCTCCCTCCAGGCCGTGCTCATCGTGGTCACGGTCGCCTTCATCCAGGTGCGTATTTGCCGCTGTCCCGTCCCGTCAGGGTGACCTGGGCATGACGGGGGGGTGTGGGGCCTCCCGAAACAGCAGTGCGATGTGCCACCCCCAGGAGTACCGCTCGGAGAAGTCTCTGGAGGAGCTGACCAAGCTGGTCCCCCCCGAGTGCCACTGGTGAGTGGGTGACTGGGTGTCTCGGTTCCTCGAGGGAGCTGGGGCTGCTGCACTTGGCAAATGCTACATCCCCTGTGGCATCGCTGGCTTGCTGGGTGTCCTGGGGCGGCAGCTCAGCCTTGCCGCAGCCCTGCTCTCTCATCAGTCTCTGGGGTGCCCGGCCTGGGGGTGTGGGTGGAGGCAGCGGCTTTGGGAAAATGGTGCTCAGGCAGGGCGGGCCTGAGGGTCAAGGGGTCCTCGGGGTGGCTCGGGAGAGGCTCTGCAGGGGTGAAGGGGCCTAGCCTGATGCTGGGCAGGCTGAGACACGGGAGGCAGACTTGGGCCCCAGCTCAGACGCCCGCCAGCCTCCTGCCTGCCTGGATGTGGCTGCTTTGCCCTCTGCCGTGACGCAGCTCTTGCTGAAGATGTTTAAAAGGAGAAAGGAAAGACAGAAATGTCCAATAGTGCCACGAAGTGCCACCAACCCATCCTGAAGTGTCCTGTGACCCGCCCCGGGCAGTGCCGGGTCATAGTCTCGTGTCCCAGGACCGAGGAACTGAGTTCTTAACTTAATTCTACTTCACTTTGGGCTGGGAGGTAGCTCAGTGGTGAGCTCTGGCCTAGCGTGTGTGAGGCCATGGGTTCCTTCCCCAGGACCACAGAAACAAAAACAACCAAAAGATTAATTGTAATTAAAATAAGCACCAGGGGCCTGTGAGCCCACAGTGTGTGTGTCAGAGGGAAAGACGGAGACAGAGGCAGACAGAGGAGGAGAAAGGCCAGACCGGAGGCAGGGAGGGGCTGATGGGAAGGAGGAGGGGCTGACGGGAAGTGGAGAGGGGACTCTCCCCAGGCCACCAGGGCGGAGGAAATCCGGGCTTGATGGCTGGGCTCCCCGGCAGGGAAGCGTAAATGATGCATGTGGCCGGATGGGCCGATCTTAAGTTTAAACACCAAGCGGTGGCCTCTCAGGTGCTCAGCCTGCATTATTGATGTCCCCAGAGGCCGCTTCTAAAGGCATTTGATTTTCAAGGATAGCAGCAGGGCCAGCCAGCCCTGGAGAGTCCTGGAGTCCCTCTCCCCAGCAGGGGGCACACTGCCGCACAGGGAGCACTACCCGCTTCCCACACACAGCGCTCACCGTGCGGGTGGCGGGCCCAGGGAGGCGGGCCACAGAGGGGGCACAGCTAGTGAGCCCCGTAGGCTATTCAGAGCCCAGACCCCAAGCACAGACATGCAGCAGTACCGGGGACAGGGATGTGTCTAAACAGCCTGCTCTCAGACCGCCCAGAGCCAGCGTGGCAGGAGCAGCTGACATTTAAATTGAGGCCTGGTTCAGAGGAGCCACAGGAGGAGCAGAGGGAGCCTCCGGGGTCTTACCATCGGGTGCTGCTGGCTACCAGGGTCAGAAAACTCAGCTGTGCAAATGTGAGGAAAGTGTGTGTGTCCTAGTGAGTGCCCTGAGGTGGGGGACAGGTTAGCTCCGCCCTGGGGCACCCTCTTCCCCTGCTGCCGCCTGCTGCTTGGCTTTACTCTCTGCCTGGCTCCCTTGGGGCCCTGAGGGGGCTGCCGTGGCTCTGGGCTCCACGAGTCCCAGAGAAGAGATGGTGTGTGCGTGCGCGTAGCGTAAGGCCTCCGTCCGGAGCACCCAGCAAGCACCCCCTCGCATCTCACAGGCCAGGGCTGTCTGACTTGCCCATGCCCACGCCTGTCCCCGGCAGGATTTCGGACCTGTCTGATGATCTGAGCCAGGGGTGGCCGCTCCCTGGAGCACCTGGCTGTGGGAGAGGTTTGGACACCCATACGGGATCAGATTCCCTGAACAAGGAAGAAGGAAATGTGCCCTCCAGCCGCCAAGTCTGCAGGGACAGCGAGAGCAGGAAGGGCCAGTGCGGTGCAGCCCGCCCAGTGCAGCAGGGGAGGAGTGGCTGGAGGCGCGGACCTAGTCCAGGGCCTGGGCTTTGATCCCACAGGGTGGGAAGGCCCCGGGGCAGGAGGGACTGTGTGGGGCTTTGTTGTCTTAGAGCTTCCCCAGCTGCGGAGGGAGTGGAGCAGCAAGGAGGGTGACCTGGCTGTGCAGCCCTGGGCAGAGCCGGAGTCCTGCAGCATGTCTCTTGCCCCGCGACGGGGGGGTCCCCGCGCCCAGGCAGTCCCCCACACCTCCAGGTCAAGCCAGCTGCTCCCCAAGCGCAGAGTGCAGCCTCCCAGCCACTGAGCTCCCCCTGCAGATGCTTCTGCAGCGCTGGGGCTCCTGCTGCAGGCAGGGGTGGCAGGCGCCTCATTTCCCAGCCTCCCAGAAGCCACACGGGTCCCCAAAAGTCTTTTAGGATGCTTGAGTTTAAAGATTAAGGAGGCTGTAAGGGTCCAAGTGTTTGTCCATAACTGAAAGAAAAATGTCTTTCTACGGCGCCACCCCATGCGTCCAAGTGCAGAGACGGGGCGTCAGTTGGGTCCCTCTGCCCTCGTAGCATGAGAGACGGGAAGCTGCAGCACCTGCTTGTGCGGGACCTGGTTCCTGGGGATGTCGTGTGCCTCTCCACCGGAGACCGGATCCCCGCAGACATCCGACTCACCCAGGTGAGCCACTGGCAGGCACACGGGTGCACACCCACAGGCACACCCACACGCCAGCCAGCCGGGAGGTAGCCCGAGCCAGCCTGGAGCAGGAAGCCCTCCCTCGTCTCCACAGGACAGGCACAGCCACCTCCTCTTCGCAGCTTTGCTTTCCGTGGGTTCAGATGTCCACAGTCAGCCGTGGATCAGAAACAGCAGTCCCAGCGCTCTCCTCACCCCGCATGGTCGCAATGGTCTGCTGTAGGGTACCGATGGAGCCATCCTGCTGTGGTGCCCAGGGAGAAGCACAGCATCTATAGGGCTTGGTACTATCTGAGGTATCAGGCACCCCCTGAGGGGCGCAGAACGTGTTTCCCGCAGACCGGGGGTCCTATGGAAGCCTTTGGCCATGGGACAGTCTAGCATGGAGCTGACTGCAGTAGCAAATTAACCCGAGTGGGGCTGGAGAACAAGACCAGCCGGCCGCCAGCACCAAGGGGCAGTGACAGTGGGGAGGGAACTGGGTCTGGAGCCCAGGTCCCGTAAGACAGCAGTGACCTCCACAGTGGCCCTGTCTGGGCACTGCAGCCAGTCAGGGACAAGCTCCTCCTCGGCCCCAAGGGTCTCAGGGGCACAGCTTGGCAGGAGGTTGCCCGGTCCATGGGCTTCTCCCGCACTGACAGTGTTGTGGGTAGGAGCTACCACATCGGTTCATGGGTGAGGACGCATCACCCAGGCGAAAGGAAAAGTGCAGGCGTCTGTCTGGGACCTGCATTTATGGTGTCTGTGACCTCGGCCACACACGGTCCCACCATGCACACACACACCCTCCAGGGGCTGCAGCAGGGCAGGGCCAGGCGAGGGGCACAGCCTCTGCCAAGTGTGGATCTGATGAAGTGACCGGGCTCCTACCCTCTGTTGATTCTCTGCCTTGCACGGCAGGATCCCTCCAGGCAAGGGAAGATGTACACACTTGGGCAGCCAACAAGGAGGGCTGCTGTCCACTGCAGCTGCTGGTGTAAGGCACAGAGGTCGGGTGGAGCAGTGGTTAGAGCCCCGGAGCCAAGCATGAGCTTAGGTTTGAGCCCTGGGTCTGTAACTCAAAGCACTATGACCTGGAGCAAGTTGCTTAACCTCTCTGGGCCTCAACTGCAAAACTGGAGGGGGTCACGGCCACAAGGTTGTTGTAAGAATCGAGTGGCTTCACACATACAGAAGGAGTGTCAGCAAGTAAGGGGGCCAGGACTTGCCTGTGATTAAGGCAGGGGTGTTAGGAGCCAGGGAGCCTGCTTGTGGGTGCTGGCTCCGCCTCTCCCAGTGTGTGGCTTGAGCAGAGGTTCGCCTCTCTGAGCCTTGGTTTCTGCATCTCCAAGGGGCTGACTTTGGCCTCCACTTCCTGGGTTAGGGTGCGGGTGGGGGACAGCAGCCCCCGCCCTGCACTGCGGCAGCAGGGTTTTCAGTCTTCGCCCTGCAAGTCTGAACAGGCCTCAGACGCCCTCCTAAGCCCCAAACAAACCCATCCTCTCCATCAACGGTTTCTCCCCGCCCCGCTCAGGTTCAGCTAAATTGCACCCTTGTGCTGGCTGCGGACGCCACTGAGCTGGCAGGCTGCCCCGCTGGTATTTTGCAATCCCCTGGACAATCGATAGCTTTGTTGATTCCCAGTGGGAAGCCTTTATCAGCGATTATGTTGTGAGATCCTGGAGCATGTCCCTGTGCCCCTCAAAGCCTTCAGGGCCAGGATCAGCATGCCCTCGCAGCTCTGGAGCTAAGCCACCACATCAATGCCTGGCGCTTGGGGTCGGGAGACACCTCCTCTCCCTCGGCTAAGGGAGGGCTGTAGTGGGAGGGCCCAGTCAGAGGCTGGCCTGGCACTGCCAGGAGGGCCGGGCACTGTGTTTTTTTGGTTTCCCTCCCATTTCTACAGTAAGAAAGGGTTGAAGTGAAGTTGTTGGGACCCGTGGGAGCAGGGCTGGGCAGGAGCTGTGTGGACCAGGAGGAGCCCCCATGCGCCTGAGCAGGAAGTGGGTCCAGCTGCATCCTCGTGCCCTGCCTCAGTGACCCTGGGAGCACCGCTGGTGCTAACCTAACATTAGAGTGTCACAGAACAGCCCAGCTCTGCAGTAACATAATCGTGAGGGCCGATTAACTCACAAAGAAAAGAGGTTTCCTGGTGAGCGCGCCGGGTGGGGCCCCGCGGACAGTGAGGACCTCTTGCTGCAGAGTACCCGGGTGGTACAGGGCATCTCACACTGGCAGATGGGGGTGTGCGTGTGGTTCTTCTTCTTTGAAAGCCTCCTTGGTTCCCTCCTGGGCCGCCACCTTCACGGCTGTGTCCAATCCCAATCCCTTCCCAGAGACCTGACCTCTAAACACCACCATCGGATCGAGCCACCACTGTCTAACACCTTCCGGAGGGGATTAAAGGTCAACACAGGGGTTGTTAGGTGACACGCTTGCCACATCCCAACCAGAGCACTCAGTTATGTGCAGGGGTTAGGGAACCCCGAGGCCTGCACAGGACGAGGGGTGGGCAGGGGCAGCACAGGGGCTCTAAGTGGTGTGTCCCACAGTCCCTATGGCGTTAGCAGTGTTAAATTGTGTTGAACTTTCACATAGCATTAGAAGAAGGTGTGAGATTTATGTTTCCCAAGAGGGATCCCATTCAAAGCCTTTCTGACCCCGACCGGCGGGCATCCAAGGCTACAACTCTGACACAAGTTGAGTTCCACACCTTCCCTGTGTGGTGCTGGGTGGCAGTCGGGGCTCCTAAAACCAACTTGCAGGGTGAGCTGGGAGATCCCACAGCGTCCCTCTGTCCCACCCAGGTCACAGACCTCCTAGTGGACGAATCCAGTTTCACCGGAGAGGTGGAGCCATGCAGCAAAACAGATGGCCCCTTGACGGGCGGCCGGGACCTCAGCACCCTGAGCAACATCGCCTTCATGGGGACCCTGGTGCAGGGCGGGAAGGGCCAGGTAACACGGGCTGCCGGGCACCGCGCGCCACAGGCTCCGGGCCCTCGAGCTTCACGCCACCTCCTCTCCGCTGACACAGGGCGTCGTCATTGGAACAGGGGAGAGGTCTCAGTTTGGAGAGGTGTTCAAGATGATGCAGGCAGAAGAGGTAAGTGGGCAGCTGGGGGGTGTGGGGTAATCTGAGGTTCTGTCGGGGACACAGCCCTGCCCGCACTGCAGGAAGGAGGCAGGTGTGGTTCATCTGAGTATATCTCAAATTTATCTCAGAACCCTATAGGATGTTCATCACAATATAACTTTGCAGCATGCATAGGCCTCAGGGCGAGGTCAGTGACCCTGTGCACATGTGTGCCCGTGTCACTTGACACTCAGAGCAAGCTGGGGGCCCGAAAGCGAGCCCGTCCACGGCCAGGACGGCCATCTGACAAACCCCTGTTCTCCCCCTTTCAGACACCTAAAACGCCATTGCAAAAGAGCATGGACAGGCTGGGGAAGCAGCTGACTCTCTTTTCCTTTGGCATCATTGGTGAGCGAAGTGGTTTCCTGCAGGGCTCTGGAGATTCTGGGGGCCCTGGCTGCCTCTTGTGCGTCTTGCTGCTCACCCAGGGACCACTAGGCTGGGATTGGAGATGCACAGCAGGCTGACGGCTGTAACAGGGCCGCGTGGCTCCTGCTTACGCCACAGTCCAAGGGTGAGATCTGGGCTGGTGGCTTTCCTGGATACCTCTCCTCCAAAGGTTAACTTTGCTCAGGTCCCTCCTGCATGGTTGCTCTGCCCCCTATAGGTTCTTGGAGGCTAGAATGCTACCCAGCCTGCAGAGGGGAATGAGAGAACACAGAAGGTTTGGGGTGAGGATAAGGCATGCACCAGGAAGTGGAATTGGCACTGCTGCCCATTTCTATTGGCCAGAGTGGAGTCACATGACCTCCCCAACTGCAAAGGATGCTGGGAAATGTAGTTCAACTTTCTACCCAGCCATATTTTTATGCTTCTCAGAGTGCTGAGCTTGGGCTGCTGTGTCTTAGCCTTTAGGCAACACACGGAACAGCACAATGCTGCAGGCCTGCGTGTAGATCTGAATGCTTCATACCTCCACTGGACTGTCCTGGGCCTTTCACCTGCTGCTTCTACTCTTTCCAGCTCTGGCCTTGATTCTTCGTCCTTCTTTCCCAACCAGCGGCTGGCTCATAGAACTTTCTCAGTGAGCGTTTGATGAGTGAATAATTGATAGAGGAACAGGCTGACCATGCCTCCTGCAGCACATGCAGTGATGAGGCCCAGTACTGGTGAGTCTGGCTGAAACCACAGAGCCAGACACAGGCCACAGGAGAAGCGACTGCCCCTCCCAGGGCACCCGGCCCCCAGCTGCGGGCACTGACTTAGCGAGTTTCCTACAGCATGCCACACCCTGTGCCAGCTCAGGGCTGCCTGAACTGCTAGGAGATGTGGACGGTCACAGCTCCTCATACTCAGGAGTGCTTGGGAAGCTCCAGGGAGTAGGTGATACGAAATGGGATCGTGCAGGATGAGGAGTTGTTTTCCAAGTGGGAGAAGGGAGATCCAGACAGAAGGAATGACATGTCCAGTGGCACAGAAGATGCCTCCCATTGTACGAGGGGCAAAACGGGGAAGAGGAGGAGCTACGGGGTCAGCTGGCCTGCACTAAAGGCCTGATTCTGCCATTGCCTCTCCTGGAGGGTCAGTTCTGAGCATTCGGTGAGTTAGCATGGGCACAGTGCCCAGCCCTCTACCTGGCCTCGCAGTGTCCCTGTGTCCTTGGGCACAGCCCAAGTCAGGTCTGACACAGCTCTCAGGCACGTTAGCATCCCATGGTGGACAGGGAAACTGAAGCTCAGGAGGCTCTGCTGCTCGCCACAGTCCCACAGCTGGTGGAGAAGAGGAGGAACTGGCCACTCCCCCGCATGGGGAGGCGGTGGCACGGGTTGGGGGCCACAGGACGGTGTTGGGCAGGCCATGTCCTGTGGGCTTTCCCTCCGGCATCCTGAGCACAACCCGGCTGGATCTGAACAACCCAGACCTTGGGTCCTCCTGCTTCAGCCTCCCAGATGCTGGGATTATGGGTGTGCGGCACCAGGCCTGGCTCCGGCGTCACAGGTCCAGTTGTTTGCTGTGCCTCGCCGCCCTCCCCACTCCCTGCCCGCTGTGGTCCGAGGCAGTAACAGGAAATGGGCCTCTCCTGGGCCTGGAGAGTCTGGTGCTGCTGGCGAAGCCTGGTGCCGTGAGAGGCCATGCCAGCCTCAGGACAGAGAGGACTGTGATGGATTAGTGACGTCTGTGGGGACACGGGACAGGCAGTAGCTCCCACTGCTGTCCCTGGGCCGTACACTGGAGACATATGTGGCGGAATGGAATGTGGGGGACCCAGCTGCCCACAGGGGAAGGACACAGTGGCTTCTGGGCCAAACTAGGCTCCCTGTCCAGTTCTCTCACCAGCAAGCAGAGGATATGTTTTAAGTTTTTAAGAAATGTTTTTTAATTCCAAGGGAAAGAGCTCTTTCACCACCTGAGTGCTGTGTGACACTGAGATGTCAGCGCCCGCAGGTCGAGTTGCTGCCCATGTGCCAGGCATTCTTGAGCACTGTCTCTGTGCCACGGGGATCACGGGACCCCCCACGCCGTGGCTGTCCACGGTCACCTGCCCTCAGCAGTTGGGGCCGCCAGAAGGGCACTGTGCTGTCCTAAGGCCTCCGTGCTTTCTACTCAGTACCCCAAGGACAAATACCGGGAAACTGTGCTGTGAGGAGATTTTCAGGGTGGATGGCAGGAGCGGCCTTTCCACAGGAGGGAATTTGCTTAAACTCAATCTCCAAGGTCAGGGGGGCCTGGCATAGTCATCCCTCACACACGCTCTCACTCCAAATATCAAACACCGTTTCTCAGCACTTCAAGAGCTCCTCCAGAGCTGGACATGGGCGTGCACTCCTGTAATCTCAGCATTAGGGAGGCTGAAACAGGAGGATCACTGTGAGTTCCAGTCCAGCTTGAGCTACAAAGTGAGTTCAAGCCCAGTCTGAACTACATAGCGAGACCCCATCTCGAAAAAACAAATCAAACAAAGAAAGAGCTCCTGTGGCAGAGTGGGCACTTGAGGCTGAGTTTCAGGACACAGGGGGGAGGTGGGGGACTGGGACTTGTTTTCTAGGGCAGGCAGGGTTGCCAGGTGGCCCACATCAAGTCCATAACCACGGGTTTGGGGCAGACAAGCACAGCAGCTCGAAGGAACCCCAGGCAGATGTCCCCTTCTCCAGGGAAGGCCGCGTAGGCCCCCTCCCCCGCTCTGTCTCCAACTCCTCGCATTCTGAGCCGTGCAGCACATCAGACCGGTGGCCTCCTCCACACACACGCCCACTCACTGCCCCGCGTGGGGCACCCTCGCCACCCGCAGCCTGTACAGAGTCCACCAATGGTGGCTGCAGGCTGCCACCTCCCCCGACCCTCCTGATGGCTTCCACAGGACAGCAAAGCAGTTAGGGGCAGGTACAGGTCAGCGTGCCGAGTGCTTCCCACTTGTCTTTTTTTGGTACTGGGGATTGAACCCAGGGCCTTCACACTGACCCACATCCCTAGGCCTATTTTTACTTTTTATTTTGAGGCAGGTAACTAAGTTGCTAAATTGTCAGTCTGGGTTCAAACTTGTGATCCTCCTGCCTCAGCCTCCCAGAGTGCTAGACACGACACTTCTTCAACCCTGTAACAACTCACGAGGGGGGGAGGGGTGGCAAGGTCATGATCCCATTTTAGAGACGGTGAAGCTGAGCCTGCTCCTTGGGGCCCCAACACCTTTCTGTGCTGCCAGACCATGTTGAGCCATGTCATGAGTCCCAGTGCAATGCTTCTGCCTCAAACGTCTCTCTGTGACAGCCCCAGTGCCCGGCACAGGGCCTGGTGTATTGTAAACATTTGGTAAATGATGCGTGAAAAAGAAAATGGAAAATTTAACCAGGAGCACAGGGCTAAAGTAATTTAAGCAGCAGTGGCCCGGGCTGGCGATGTGGCGAGAGCGTCCGCCTGGCGTGCGTGAGGCTCTGGGTTGCAACCCCAGCCCTGCAAAGACAGGAGTGCCCTGTGCCATCCCCGAGAACCGCACCGCGCATGTGGGACGCCTCCGGGCAGTCCTGGCCCCGCACCTGTGTGGGCGCTTTGCGTCTGAGTCACACAGCAACAATGAGTAGATGCGCGCTCCGGAAGAGCCCCACACAAGCCTGTGTGCTTGAACGCGGCCAGAAACTTTCCTGAAAGATTAAAACTGCTTTTTGAAGCATGAAACTCTTCCTTAATAAGAAAAGGCGAGTGGTTGAGAGTGTTGAGGTTGCTGGTTTCCCCTGCGGGTTCCTGTTCCCTGCAGAAGCAGGCCGGGCTGCACAGACGGCGGCACGCGGGCACGCGGGGCACGCGCAGACGCCCGTCTTGTCTCCGCAGGCCTCATCACGCTCATCGGCTGGGTGCAGGGCAAGCCACTGCTCAGCATGTTCACCATCGGGGTCAGGTAAGGTGCCCCAGCCGGGCCTTCCCTCGGGCCGAGCGGCTTTGCCCCTCAGGTCTTCCCTCAGCATCTGCGCGTCTATTTCCTCCCCGCACGCCGGCGGGCTCCGTCCTGCGAGGTTGCCGGGCAGGGGGACAAAGCAAACAGAGCAGCTTGTGCGTGCGCTAACGGCATCTCGGGTGAGAACACCGCAGAGGAAGCCGCTGCCAGAGGGATGACGGAGGGGGCGACAGCCGAGCAGGGGCCCAGGGGCCGGGGCGGCTTCTACATGGAGCTGAGGCAGGGAGCTGAGAAGGAGCCGGCTAGGGGAAGAGCAGGAGGGGCGGGCCCAGGGCAGGGGCAGGCCCAGGCTCAGGTGGCACCGCCCAGGGGGACCTGGCTAGGACACCCAGCTGGGCCCCGTGGGCAGCAGGACGTGCTGGCCTCAGGGACGGGTCGCAGGGCAGCTGGGGCCCCTCTCTCCCAGTCTAACCCCGCCACTGCAGTCCGCATCATGCCATGCCTGGCATCCTCCGGGCCTCCTTGGGTTGAGGCAGGGGACGTGGAATTGGGGCCCCCAGCTTGTCGCAGAGAAAGGGAGCAGGAGGCCAGTGGTGCTGAGGACTGTGTGGAGCTTAGGGTGACTGAGTGACATCCTAGAAGAGGAGATAGCCGTAGAACAGGGTTAAAGAGACCTCTGCATTTCTCACGAGATCTCGGGGCGCTGGCGCTGTGAGGCCCAGAGCAGTGACCAGCAAGGCTAGATGAGATGCTTCCCCCGGGATGGTGATGCCTGTGATCCCAGTAATCTGTGAGGCTGAGGCAGGAGGATCTCAAGTTCCAGGCCAGCCTGGGCCGCTCAGCAACTTAGTAGGATCCTGTGTCAAAAACAGTCAAAGCTTCCCCTAGTACAGACCCAGCAGGAGCAGAAGCAGAGGTCCCCATCCCTGTACCAAGGTGACGATGGCCTCGGGCAGGGCAGACCAGGGCAGAACCCTGCGCACCCCCTGGTCGAGTAGAGCACTGGGAAATCTCCCTGGCGGAATGGCAAATGCGACCAGGAGAAACCCCCAGTGCCGGAAAGACTACAAAAGGTTTCCAGGATGAGACCAAAAGCTCGGCCATCCATCCGCGCCCCCCATGCCATCTCATACCCCACGCTAATGCCCCTCCTGAACCTGGCCACCCACTTGATCACGGCAAAATTGCACCTGAGGGAAAACTCCCGCTTCCGCTTGTGATACTGAAAGGGCAAACATTTTCAATTCTTAGTGGTAAGTTCAAGTCACCCAAAGCCCCGAGCCAGAAAGTGGAATCCTCCGGCAGAATGGGCAGTGAGATTCTCCAAAGTAAATAAAAGGGGAGAGCCGTTCTTTTCAAGACTTTATCCTCATTCCTTCTGACATCCAAGGCGATCCAAGCAACTCGCTTTTCTGGTTCCGTTCTAATCTTTATTAGTTTGTGGATTAATCTTTTATCACCATGATGCCTCTGACGCCCTTTCCTTGCCTGGGGAGGAGCAGTGCCCTCCTAACCCTCTGCAAATGTTTGCTCAGCTGGTCTTGCCCACCTGTGCCATCAAACCAAAGACGCCGTCTCGCTGTCACCATGGAAACGGGGCATGGCCCCTTGGCCAACACCAGTGATCCTGGTTATATAACTGGTCCCGGAGAGGTCTGTTGTGTGGGTGAAAGGTCGCCTTGCATACAGTGCATGTTGCCATCAGGGCTTGCAAGGGAACAGACTTAATACAGGACGCATAATTTATAGGATTTTTTATAATATTCACTCAAAGAGTCTAATGCAGAAGAGTGCGGGAGATCTGTCCAGGCACTAGAGGCCCAAAGAATCCAGCTGGAGGCCTAGAGCCCATGACAATGTGTCCTATCAGTCTGTACCAAGGGTCTGAGTTGGGAAGGCCTGAAGGCCAGTGGTGGAAGCTAGAAAGTCTGTGCCAGTGGGATGAAGGGTCTGTGCTAGCAGGCTGAGGGATCTGCACTGGAGCCAGGCAGTGATACTCAAAGACCAGAGCTCCTTTAAAGAGAACCCCGGACATCCTAAGCGACAGTGAGGACCTGAGCTCCTCTGACGATAAGAACAGCTGAGCTCATATCAGGAAAACCAGTGAGACAAGCTTCTCTAGGAGATTCAACAGCACCATCTTCCCCGCCAGTTCTCTTGTTACGCTATTGGCAACAACCCTCAGGTGGGCTCCACGCCCAGCACTACGCTCGCTCAGCTGAGGTGGGCGTTCCAAGTTGACCATTAGTTTATCCACCGCAGTACGCTTCTCTACATCCTAGCGCAGGGGCTGGGGACGTGGCTCAGTGGCAGAGTTCTTGCCTTGCATGACCAGTGCCCTGGGTTCCATCCCCAGCACCACCAAAAAAGAAAAGAATCTATGTCTTAGCTCCTCCGGCGGCGGCCCTCAGCCCTCTCTGTCAGTTGCACACCAGATGGTGGCGTCAGCTTAGACCCAGGGAAGTGCGGTGGCCGCGCGTGACTGGGTGACACGCGCTTCTTCGCCGGGGTGCACCCTGTGCCAGGCCAGCTTGGGCCGGACCTTTTGTGCATTCGCTCGTCACACTGCTCACCATGGCAGACGGTGGCCAAGGCCGTTCGGCTGGACGCCCTGGAACAGAAGGTGACAAGCCGCCCGGGTCCAGACGCAGCCAGAAGTTATGATTTGCTGAACGCTTTCCTTTTAACAAAGTGGACTTTGTCGCAGTGTTTAAAAATTGGGACTTTGCTTTAAAAAGACTCTGGGCCCTTTCAGCTCCCACACCCCAGTCACCAGCGGTCACAGCCTGCCTGTCTCTGAGTCCAGCTGTCGCATGAACGGGTCACGCACTCCATGGCCTTTGTGCCTGTCTGTTCACACCCAGCCTGCATGTTTTGAAGATTCATCCATATTGTAATATGCTAGCAGAACCTCGTTCCTTTTCATGGCAGAATAGTTTTCCACTATATGGATAGATCCTATTTTTCCATCTGTTTGTTGATGACTAACTGGGTTGTTACAGTTTCTTTTTATATTTATTGCTTAACTGTTTTAAAGTAAAAGTTTAAGCAAGCATCAAGGTAGAATAGTGAGGTGAACACCAGCTGTGCTCTGTAGGCTTCCACAGTTACCAACTGCAGCGGTCATCTTTGACCTGGGTCCACCCCAGCGTATCCAAAGCAGGCCCCAGGCCTGGGCTATCTGACCACTCCAGAGTTAGACCGTGGACATTGTGAGCCTCAGTGGGCCTCAGCCCCACGTCACTTCCCCAGGGAAGAGAGACAGGTTACAAAGCCCACCAGACACAGCTGTGGGAAGCTGGATCTCGTGGTACAGAGGAGTCAGAGGGCTGGGAAGGAGCGAGCAGACCCCCAAAACAACCTATCCAGTGCCCAGCACCTCCACTTTGATGTCCTCGCCCAGCTTCCTCAGAGCAAGTACTGACCCAGGACCCAGGGAGGATGATCAGGATGCCCAACTGCCACTTCCAGCTTGTTGCCTGATTCTGGAAATTCTTTCGGACCCAAGGACTTTCTCTAATATATGAGAATAATTTAAATGCAAAAGCATTTCAAGAGACCTTGACAGACACTAACTCATGCTAAGGTGTGACTGTCTGATAGGAGAGGTTCCTTCCCCAAGGAAGGGGGAGGCTCCTGGCACAGGTGTTGAAAGGGAGGCCAGGTGCTCGGCGGGACTGGGAATTGAGGCTATGACAGGGATGCTGGGGAACACACGAATAGCTTGCCAGCCCCAGTGGGGAATCGCACCGTCCTGAAGCGCAAGCTCAACGCGGCGTGTGGCCCCTTCCCTCCACCCAGCCTGGCCGTGGCAGCCATTCCCGAGGGCCTGCCCATCGTTGTCACGGTGACGCTGGTGCTGGGCGTGCTGCGGATGGCCAAGAAGCGCGTCATTGTGAAGAAGCTGCCCATTGTGGAGACCCTGGGTGAGGGGCTGTCTGCGGCTGTCACGCGTGGGACAGAGGGAGGTGTGCTGGCAGCCTCTGGTCCGTGAGCTGATGTTTTGTGGTACCAGGCTGCTGCAATGTCATCTGCTCTGATAAGACGGGGACTCTGACCGCCAACGAGATGACCGTGACCCAGCTGGTGACATCCGACGGGCTCCGCGCAGAGGTGAGCGGAAGCCTGCCGCAGCTCTAGGAGGTGACAGGGAGGAGCCCTGGGGTCGCGCTGCCACCTGCAGTCCTCCCGGCACAGGGGCGGCGCCTGCTGCTTGCTTTCTGTTCCCGCGCCCTGGGCACTGCTGTTGGCTCCTGGGCGATTCTGCGTCCTCATCTTTTTCCCCGTGAAGCTTTGCAGAGAAAGGGTCAGCAAATTCCAGCCCCAGGCTGGCTTTAGGGGGTGAAGTTTTCTTGGTGCACTGCGACGCCCACCTGTGGCTCCACCACTGGCTGCTTCCCTGCCCCGGGGCAGTTGTGGTGTGACAACCCAGGTGCAGGAAACCCCTGTTCCCTGTCCTGACGATCATCCCCTCCCAGGCCAGTAACCCTCAGGAAACATCTTCCTGTGTGGGGCTACGGCCCTGGGGCGGACCCTGGTGGACACTCTGGGTGACTTGAGGCCGCACCCCCGCTCCCGCCATGCCTGCAGGTCAGCGGAGTTGGCTACAGCAGCAAAGGGACCGTGCGTCTTCTCCCGGCCAAGGAGGTCATCAAGGAGTTCGACAGCGTCTCAGTGGGGAAGCTCGTGGAGGTGAGGACGGCAGCGCTGCGGTGGCATACGCGTCACAGATAGGCTTGCAGGGGTCTCCCCGTGGAACACCATGGCCGGACCCGTGGGCTCTGGGCGACCACCCAGTCCCTCCCCAGGGTTAGGCTGTCATGCTGCTGCCAATGTGGCCCTGAGGCAGATGGACAGTGGGGGTGGGGACAGGGGAGCAGGACACTGCTGCCAGACTCAAGAGACCCCACAAAGAAAGGCTCCGTGGATGCTGGAAACCAGCACGCAGCAGACGCCCTGCCGCTGTGGAGACTTTAACATTAGGCGTAGCCACCTTCGCACAAGCGGGCCTCCCTCCTGCGAGGCAGGTGTCCCACCCCAGCCCCGTGATCAGGCAACGCTCGCAGAGCCTAACTTTCCTATGGCCCGGGGTGAGCTCAGGGGCCCAGGGTGTGGCGTCCGGAGCTGACTGCAGACTTCCTGAATCTTTCAGGCGGGCTGTGTGGCCAACAACGCCGTCCTCAGGGGGAACACAGTGATGGGGCAGCCCACGGAGGGAGCCCTGCTCACACTGGCCATGAAGGTGGGTGCAGCGGGCTGGTGCGGGAACACTGCACCTTGGGAAGTCCTGCAGCTCTCTAAGCCCCACCCAAGGCTCCAGGAGGGTCCCCTAGCACCCTGTGGCTCAAACCCTGAGCAGATACAAGGAGACGCCAGCGGTGGTTGTGGGCTCCGTGACTCCACAGAACAGAGCCTGCCCCGCGCCTCCTGGAGGGTGTGGCACACAGCACAGGCACGTTTACGGGTGGGGGACAGTCGAGCTGTGGGGTAACTGGCCTAGCAGCCATCGCAGCACACACACGACAGGCCTGGCAGCGCCCGGAGCAGGCAGCAAGGCCACCACAGGGACTCGGGCCCTCCAGGAAGCTGCTGTCCCGTGTTCTACCGGGGAGGTTCAACAGTGACCTTGGGATCTGACGCGGCACAAGAGAACAGAGCCGTTTTTTCTGAGTGGGACATTTGAAAACAAGCGGCTGAGGGCTGGGATGTCCGCTTGGTGCACGCTGAGTGACCAAGTAGCCCCAGCAGACCGCGTGCACCCAGAGACTGGCTTTGGCCAGCTCCGCAGAGCACGCCGTCTCCTCCCCCTAGATGGACTTGGGTGACATCAAAGACACATACGTGAGGCAGAAGGAAATCCCGTTCAGCTCCGCACAGAAGTGGATGGCCGTGAGGTGCCACCTGAAGAGTGAGGTGAGTTTGGGGTGCTCCTCCTGCACCCCTGGTCCCCCCATAATGCAGCCAGTGGTGGCCACTGAGTCACGTCCCCAGCATCACGCCGGCCCTGGAGCCACCTCACAAGTCCTTCCCGTACGTCCCTGTGCTGAGCTCTCCGCGTGTCAGGTTAGCTCACTGCGTGTCACACGGAGGACACAAAATCCCTCCTCACTGACAGGGCACCCAGAGCCACACCCAACAGTGACTGACAGGCTGACACGCGCACGTGTGTGCGCAGAGACCCAGGCCTGGGCACGCGTGTTGTCGGTGACAAGAGGGACACGCTCTGAACTGTCCGTGCTGCTCAGGGCAGGAGGGTTGCGCTAGTTTTTCTTATATTTGCCCTTTTAGATATCTTGCAGCTTTTCAGACATCTTCCATGGAAAAAGCATTTCGAGCAGCGGACCCCTCCCCCAGCCTGCCTCTTCCCTGGGACCCAGCGCGCCGTGGGCATAGGTCAGGTCTCCCCTCCCGTTGCAGGTCCTCCCGGGTCCCTCGAGGGGACTTGCGAGGTCCAAGTGCCTCAGAGAGTTATGGATTCTCACTACGCAGTCAAAATTTGTTGCCACCAAAGACAGTGGGAGAGGGGGACGGGACAGGCGGGCCGTCTGGGCTGTCCGCAGGGGACCTGAGATGGAAACTCTTTGTGACTCGACCCCTCCTCTCCCAACCCGCCCCATGGAGGTGGCACCTTTCGCTGGCCGGCACCCAGCATACTGGACCCCAGCCCCCCACTCACAACACCGTGGGGCAGTTTTCAAAACCAGGTCCTGGTGTCTGTGACTGGCTTTTATTTCCCTCATCTTTCCCGTGAGGCTGGCCTTTCTGTGCCAGCTAACAGGATGCCACTCACCGTGCTGGCTGTGCCCAACCGTGAGCCAGCGGGCACTGCTCATGTTGGCCGCTGACCCAGCGCTGCCCACAGGGAGCTGAGGGCCTAGCCTGTAACACAGCACCTGTTTAACAAGCACACGGGACAAAAGACCCGCTGTTCATCCAGGTTCACTCCCAAGCCCACAAGTCCTTGGGACAGTGGTCTAGACAAAGTAGCTGGCAGCCTCCACTTTCTGAGTGTACAGGTTGCCCCGGTGACATTAACAAGGGCACCTCATGGAGAAAAGGGTAGCAGTCAAAGATCAAGTTCATTCTTTTTATGGGTTGCGTAGTATTCCATTGTGTGGATTCTGTGACTTACTAATTTGTCCTGTATCCATAAATAGCACAGTCTGCAATAACACCATTGAGAGCATTCCTAGGTGTGCAGAAGGAGGTGACAGTCACCTCGTGCAGAGGCACCCCTGACCGTGGAGTCTTCTTTTTGTCTTTTCCAAGGACCAGGGAGACATTTACTTCATGAAGGGGGCCTTTGAGGAGGTGATCCGCTCTTGCACCACATACAACAATGGCGGCATCGCCCTGCCTCTGACACCCCAGCAGGAGACGTTCTGCCTGCAGGAGGAGAAGAGGATGGGGTCGCTCGGCCTGCGGGGTCAGTGTGGGGTCGGTGCGGGCCTGGCCTAGGGTTCTGAGCTGGTGGAACCTCGCCAGTGGGCAGTGTTGGCCCAGGGTCCTGGATGACAGGTGGGCAGCTTGGGGTTGGCGAGCTGCAGCCCCTGTTCCTCCCCATACACTAAATGCCACCTGCCTGTCCAGTGCGGTCAGGGACCACGGCGGACACCACAGACACGGACCTCTGGCAGGTTAGGGGGTGAGGCTCCCACGTGGCCCGGGCCACCACATCCACTCCTGCTCCCAGGCTGGGCCCCGCCTGTGCCGGGCACTGAACGGAGTGCCCATTGGGGCAGCGGCCTGGATTGTGCCAGGCTGCCGCAAGGCCCCCACGAGGTGGGGGACTCACCGGGGACACTGACCACCGCATGAACTGGTCCTGGGCCTCCAAGGACACAGGGTTGGTGGCCGAAGCTGGTGAGACCCTCAGTGTCCCCCGAAGTTACACGTGAGCTTTTTGCATTTACCGAGGGGCCCATCTCCTCTGGCTGGCCTCGGAGAAAGCCTGTGTGTCTTGCAGGCCAGGGGCCGGCGGGGTGACCGGAAGGACTGTCCTCAGCCAGGGAGTGGACGGAGCACCTACTATGCGCCAGGTCCCCAGAACGCTGGGGCTGTGCGGTGTTTCCCTATTTACACAGAGATGAAGGTGACCAGGCTGAAGGCAGCTAGGAGGAAAGTCCAGGGACAGCAGCACAGAGCAGGAGTGAAGTCCCTGGTGTAGAGGGACTGCAGAGTTCCAGGAACAAGGGGACAGTAGGCCTGTATAGCCCCCCAGGGAAGGGGTGGCACTGGTTTTACTAGCAAATGCCAGCAGCCCTATCAGCATACGGCACCAGCATAATCAGCAGTGGCATAATTAGCACACTGGAACTGGTGTAATTAGCACATGGACTTGTTGTAATTGGCACACAGCACTGGTGCAATTAGCACAAGGGTACTGGTAATTAGCACACGGAATTGGTGTAATTAACACCCAGCACTGGTGTCAGTAGAGGATTCTCAGTCGCAGCCCACTTCAGGTGTCAGCAAGGTGACACAGGCCGGTACTTAGCTGCCACCTTTCAGATCACTTGGCCCCCAGGGGCGCATGAGTTTGGTGCCCCTGAAAACAGGGTCCATGGCCAAGACAGGACCACAGGCAGAGCCCTCTCCCTGCGGCGCTCTGGAGGGAGCTGTTCTTCGCCTCTGGTAGCTGCTGCCACACCTGCTGGAGGTAACAAGACATGGAGCAGGTGCAAATCACAGCCGCCCCACCCCGCCCCTCACAGGCTCTGTGGCCTCCCTCACTGGGCGAGAGGGTCTCTCGGCCACACGAGGCTAAGTCCTGTCCCCGGCCCTCCTCCCTGGCTCAAGCACTCGGTGTCAGGGGCTGCTGGGAGGGTCTGCCAGTCTGGGAGTGTGGCACCCTGGCCCTCGCAGATGGGACCCAGGCCGCAGGGGGGCTGGCCGGCCCCAGTGACCCGCGGGTCTCGCCTCTCCGCAGTGCTGGCGCTGGCGTCGGGGCCCGAGCTGGGGAGGCTGACGTTCCTGGGGCTCGTGGGCATCATCGACCCCCCGCGGGACGGCGTGAAGGAAGCGGTTCGGGTGCTGACCGAGTCGGGGGTGTCGGTGAAAATGATAACAGGAGACGCTCTGGAGACGGCCTCGGCCATAGGTAATGGGGCGACGGGCAGGGATCGCCCTCCTGCACCTGGCACCGCCACTGCCAGTCTGTCCTCAGGGAGAGCCAGCCCAGCTCGAGTGCTTGGAAAAGACCCGAGATCGCAGATCAGTGTCCCACCACTCTGCCTCCCCAGCGGTCTCTGCTTCCAAGACACCGACAGAGCCTCCAAAAGGGGCACAGGTGTCCTCATATAAACTGAGGACCTACTGTGTGTTGGCCTCATCTCGCCTTCACAGGCAGCGGCGGGTACAGTGTGCTGTTTCAGTCCGGCTCCTGCCACGAGCCACACCCCCTTGGGAAATCACTGAGCTCTCTGACCCTCGGTGTCTTCATCGGCAGAGGACAGGCAGGTTTGCTCCTGCCACGCCCGGGGTGCTCATTCTGCAGGCTGCAGCACGCTGGCTTTGAGACAGCCTTGTGCCATAAGGGCAGGGGCTTCAGAAGCAGGCAGACCCACCTCAGGTCCTGGCATTGCTGCCTACAGTTTCTGTGTCCTCATCTTTAAACTGGGCAGCATGAGGCTTTGTTGTGAGTGCTGTGGGTGGAGCCCAGATCCTGGTAACATAGTAACATCCTGGTAACATCCTGGTAACATCCTGGTAACATAGTAGGTGCTCAGTAAACAATATCCATTGTAGTTTTATTTCCATCATTCTCTGCTGCCAAGATGGAGAAGGACGTCAGGTAGGTGGGGTGATAGGTGGGGGCGGGAACCACTCCCAGGGCTTGAGCGAGCCCCCAGTGTGGATTCTCCTGCAGGAAGAGACATCGGTCTGTGCAAGGGGAAGCTGAGAGCCATGTCCGGGGAAGAAGTGGAGAGCATGGAGCCGGATGTGCTGGTGGGCTGCATCCGAGAGGTGGGTTCCACCCTGACGGCCTGCGCTCCCATTGCTGGGAAATGATGCCTGGTACCCACAATGAAAGGGGAGAGCTGTGACTTGGCTCGTGGTTACAGATGGTTCAGTCCATGGCCAGCGGGCTCCATGAGGAAGAGTGTGGTGGGGGAAAGATACTTAGTTCATGGGGATTAGGAAGCAGGGCAGGGAAGAGTGCTAGAGAGGAAGGGATGAGGGACCGGGCATAGAGCCCAAGACCACACACCATGACCCACCCAGACACAGTCCAGCGGCTTCATGCAGCTGAACCCCCAGGCCAGGACAGGAGTTGGGGGGTGCCAGTCTCCACATGCGTTGACTACTCTTTTGCATTGCTGTATCCAGGTGTCTGTGTTCTTCCGGACCAGCCCAAAGCACAAGCTCAAGATCATCAAGGTATGCCAGGCAAGGGCACAGCTGTGCTGCGGTCACAGAGCCCCAGGCACATGGCTCTAGGACCTCACAGGTCCCTCGGTGACATCCAGGATGGGTGGTGGCTCCACACCCTTACTATTCTCTGGGTTCAGGGCACAGGCACTGTCCCTGTGCCCACAGCCCTTGGCCAGAATGCTGCCAGTTGGCCAGCTTTAGATGCGAGGGATGCTGGGAAGTGTCACCTCTGGCAGGGCAGACCCATGGCCAGCTAATGTGGGGAGGACTGAGGGCCAAAGCCAGACTCTCTGGCAGCTGAGCTTTGTCCATGTTAACTGGAGGTTTTGCCTTGTTGGTTTTTGGTGTTTTTAGTATGGCAGGGTAAATCTCTATACAAGTGGCTCTTTAAAAACATGTAACATTCACAGGTACCTCCTGGCTCAGGTCTTAGGGACCAGGGTGACCTCACTGGCCTCTGCCTGTAGCTCGGCATCCTCCTGTCCCTTGACTTCACTGGGCCTCGCCACAGCCTGCTTGAACCAAGGATAGCTGCCCTCAGTAGGGGGGAAACGGAGGCAGAGAGGCTCACGGGCTGCAGGAGGAGCTGGTGCAGCATCAGGAAGGGGTCTGGATAGGGGTTCTTGGCTGTGGCCCCACTGTCCATGCTTCCCACAGGCGCTGCAGGACTCGGGGGCAATCGTGGCCATGACGGGGGATGGTGTAAATGACGCAGTCGCCCTGAAGTCTGCAGACATCGGGATCGCCATGGGGCAGGCAGGGACAGACGTCAGCAAAGAGGCCGCCAATATGATCCTGGTGGACGACGACTTCTCGGCCATCATGTAAGCACACGTTAGTTGTAAAAACTCCAGGTTAACCTGCAAAGGAGGCTTCTCTTAGGCTAGGCGTCACAGTGCATGGCTATAATCCAGACGCTCTGGGAGGCTGAAGCAGGAGGGTGGCAAATTTAAGCCCAGCCTATGCAGCTCAGTGGGACCCTCTCAAGCAGCACAGGGTGAAGGCCCAGGGTTCATTCTCCCGCACCAAAAAGGGGAAGAGACGCACCGTAAGAATCCTGAAAATGGCCAGCGTGGTGGCGCACGCCTGTGATCCCAGCAGTCAGAGGCTGAGGCAGGAGGAGCGCCGTGAGTCTGAGGCCAGCCTGAAATACACAGAGACCCTGCCTCAAAAAAACCAAACCAAACAAAAATCCTGAAAAGGCTTTCCTCTAGTTAAAAAAGTCATAAAATGCAGTGCATATACAGCATTATGCTTTCAGATCTTTTGCAAGTTTTTAATAAAAATGGGAGGGTTGACAGTTTCTACTCCTGGGTGACTCCGGAGAGCTATCTGCAGACATGGTGGGTGACATTTCCCATCCTCCTTTCGCTGTCTCCTGGATCTAATGCTCTAGGTTCCTGGTTTTGCCACCTCAAGCTGGTAACTAAGCACTAAGCACTAAGCACTCAGCACTAAGCACTCAGGGTGCTGGGCAGTGATGGGGTACTCTAGGTCTAGCCGGAGGCAAGCACAGGGACTGCATGCAGGGCTGGGGCAGCTCAGGGACCCATCCCCAGGGCCGAGGGGGTCACACCTGGCTGGTCATCGCTGCAGGCCTCCCCCGCTCCCCCGTCCCTTACAGGAGCGCAGTGGAGGAGGGGAAGGGAATCTTCTACAACATCAAGAACTTCGTGCGGTTCCAGCTGAGCACGTGAGTGCCGGCACTGGGGCCCAGGCCGCTGAGTGCTGAGGGGCTGAGCGGGGAGGGGCAGGGAGGCTGACGGCTGCCTCTTCGCTGTGCCCCCAGGAGCATCTCGGCCCTGAGCCTCATCACGCTGTCCACCGTGTGCAACCTGCCCAGCCCCCTCAACGCCATGCAGATCCTGTGGGTCAACATCATCATGGACGGGCCGCCAGCACAGAGGTGAGGGGGCCCGCCGACTCCCTCCTCCTGGGCTGTCTCTGTGAGTGTGATGTCCGTCCCTGAGAGGCCCACCAGCTTCTCAGAGGCGGGGCTTTTGTCCTGTGCCCAGCTGGCCGAAGAGCAGCTGGAGGCCTGTGGGTCAGGGTGCCACTGTGTTTGCTCAGGCAGGAGCACTGTCTCGAACATGGCTGCACCACGGTCCCCTGGGGGTGCTGCTTTTATCACCAGGACAGGGCCAAGGGAGACAAAGGCCTGGCTTGTGTCCCCACAGCCAAGGAGAGCAGGGGCTGCCCCTGCCCAAAATCACCCCGGGGAGCTTCAGGCCAGGCTGGACCCCAGGGGCCCGGGCAGAGCTGGCGCCCACACCCTTGGCAGGGCGGACCCCATGTGCCCGCGGGGTTGGCAGAGGTGATTGTGGCTCCTGCCCCTGAGGAGGGCGGAGCAGGGTCCTGTGTCCCCCGGGCCCCGGGGTTAGGGAGAATTCACCCAGTCCCGAGCTCCCGGGCCACAGGAAGGTGCCAGGGTCCTTGCTCTCTGGGGACAGAGGTGGCCACGTGAGGGTGGAGAAGGTGCAGCTGCCCGTCACAGGGGGTAGGCCCTGGGGCACCACCCTGGGGCACCTGGCAGGAGCCTGGGATGGGAGAGGGCGGGATGACCTGGGGTGTCTGGCCCAGGAGGCTGGAGTGTGACCCATTCGAGGGTCCTGGCGTCTCTCAGTGTCGCCTGTCTTGTTCGGAGCAGCTTGGGGGTGGAGCCCGTGGACAGGGACACCCTGGGGCAGCCGCCGAGGAGCCTGGAGGACACCATCCTGAGCAGGGCCCTCCTCCTCAGGATCCTCATGTCGGCCGCCACCATCCTCAGCGGGACCCTCTTTGTCTTCTGGAGGGAGGTGAGCGGCCTGCAGGAGCGGTCACTGAGCGCCAGGTGGGGCAGGCGCTGGGGCGGGAGCGGGAGGCAGGGGCGGGCGCCCGCGGTGCGGCAGCGCGTCCCAGGACGGGGGCATGCAGGATGAGAGAGTGGAAGATGTGGGCTTCCTCCTCGGGACAGGAGGTCCCTGCTTTATGGGCCCCAGGAACAACTGAAAACTGAAGGATGCTCCTGCCCCGTCCCCTGGGGACACCACGTGGGTGACTGTTCACAGCCCAGAGGCTCAGGGAGACACTGAACGAACTGGGAAAGGAGGCAGGGGACGGGGCACCTGTGCGGGCTGGAGGACACCCGCTGTCCCATCTGGGCCCTTCTCGGCCTCCTCCCTGCCCGGGACACACACGGGTGTCCGGGTCCCCGGGAGCCTGTGTCCCCGGGAGCCCGAGTGGGACGCGTGGGACGCAGGGCTCAGCCCGTCCCCTCCTCCGTTTAGACATACGCGGGGCAGGCCAGGCCTGAGGAGCTCTGGCAGCAACGGTGGCTCCCACTGGGCAGGGAGGGCTGAGGCACGAGCGGCCATGACCTCCCGGCCGGGCTTCCCTGGGGGCCACAACCTCGTGGGAGCGGCCGCCTTCTGGGGCCGTGTCTCTGAGCCCGGGCTCTGCCCTCTGTAGCACCGGGCGGGGGCGGCAGCACAGCCGGGGTGGGCGTCGATGAGACCCAGCACGGCTGAAGCAGCCACCAGGGGGGCGAAGGGCGCCTGTGAGGCCTCCTGGTTCGTCCCTCCGGGGCGGGGGGACCGACCCTGACCCTCCACCTCCCGGGTACCTGCGTCCCAGGTCCCCGAGGACAGAGCCAGCACCCCACGCACCACCACCATGACCTTCACGTGCTTCGTGTTCTTCGACCTCTTCAACGCCCTGACCTGCCGCTCTCAGGTGAGCCGGGGCCACCGCACCCCCTGCCCGGCTCCCCTTCCTCCCCACAAGGCCCAGCCCAGATCTGGCAGCACAGAGCAGGGGACAGGCATGGAGCCCGCCCAAGCGGAGGTCCCCTTTCTCCCCACAGACCAAGCTGATCCTGGAAATCGGCTTCCTCAGGAACCGCATGTTCCTCTACTCGGTCTTCGGGTCGCTGCTGGGCCAGCTGGCCGTCATCTACGTCCCGCCCCTGCAGAAGGTCTTCCAGACGGAGAACCTGGGGGCCCTCGGTGAGCCGCTGGGACCGGAGGGCAGGGTACTGGTCCCCTCGAAGGGCAACTCGTGCCTGAGTGTCTGCCCTGAGCCCCCACAGGGTGGCAGGGTGACCCACAGGGACACAGAACATGAAGCCCAGGAGGTCACCTCACCGGCCGGGCCCTGGGCTTGTGTGACATCAGCTCACCCACAGACAGGGAGCGGGGCCACCACCCTGCTAGCTGAAGGGAACTCAGCTGAGCACCTCTGGTGTGGAACTAGGGGCTCCCCTGAGTCCTCAGCCAGGCGGGCAGGAGTGACGTCCCTCAGCCTGTAGCAGAGGACAGGAGCAGGCCCAGGGGCCGAGTACCTCCCTATCCGGCCCAAGCTGCCCTTGGCCACTGCCACCGGGGAACAGAGGGCAGAGGGGTCTGGGGAGGCAGCCTCCCATGGGAGAGCCCCGGGGTGCTGCGGCTTTGGCCCCACTCCCCAGAGTTCTGAGAGGGTCAGTTCCGTGAGGCTGGACAGACGGGACCACAGGGATTCAACCCCAGGGTCCAGCTGAGGTTCCAGACATACCAAAAGGAACCAAACCTGCTGTTGAAGGGACGCTTCCACAGTGGGGAGTCGGAGCCCGGGAGGGGCCTGGGCACCCCATCCTCCATCCCGGCTACGTTACCCAGAGGACAAGGTGGGGGCAGGCTCCGCGTGCCTCGCCTCAGGGACAGGGCCGACCCCTCCTCCCGCGCCTCCCGCAGATCTGCTGTTCTTAACTGGACTGGCCTCATCCGTCTTCATCTTATCGGAAGTCCTGAAGCTCTGCGAGAAATACTGCTCCTGCACCGGGAAAGCCCAGCAGCCGGCCGAGGACCCCTGACCGCGGTGCTGTCCCATGTCTGTGGCCTGCCCTGGCCAGAGTCACCTTCACTGTCTCTGCTGGCCTGGAAAACCTTCCGGCTTCCTGGGCGACCCCGGAGCCCAGCTGTCCAGCCCCTCGCGCCGGGCTCTGGGACGCAGGGAGGAGCTGAAGGCAAATGTTGTGCTATTTATTAAATCACAATGGTTTTTATTAAGCTCACTGGTCAGGTCTTTGTAGCACAGCGGCCGCAGGACCATGGGAGCCATCGCTGGCCATCCCGAGGCCTCGCTGCTGCCTCAGACGGCGAGGGTGGGCGCTTTTTGCAAAGTGCTATGACACAGGCTGCTGATTATTTTAGCTTTGCTCCCCGGCACCAAAAAACAAAACAAAAAACACCAAAGCATGATTTACACAAAACCTAACTTTCTCACTTACACACACTGAAGGATACGCACAGCCAAGCGAGCTCACGCAGAACAACAACGCTCAAGTGCAGAGACGGCTCAGCATCTGCAAACCCATTCACCTCGTGATAACCAAGGCAGGAAAACAAAACCCAGCTTTTCACAAAATGCAACCCACACTCCTGGCAGAAATCCTTCATAATTCGCAAGAGAAAAAGCGAAGGCTGGCACTGTGCTGAATGACCGAACCCTAGATCATGATGGCGAACCCATGGCACGTGTGCTGCAGCAAGCTGTTTATATCCCTGAAAGTGCTAAAAGGTTCGCCATCGCTGGCCTGTGAGAGCAGAAGGAAGGATTTGCTAAGCAATGGGTTGAGAAATGACACAAGATGAAGACCTTGGAAGAATGGGGAATTATCCTCATCTCTAGGAGCATCACTGTCAGGCTCCAAACTCCTAGAGTTTTGATAAATTGTCACACGCATGGCTGTAGCGTTTCCCACAGGGAGATCTCTCGTGCCTCATCACAGATGCATGTTCCTTCTCCAGACTCAGGGAGTGCAGCCCCACACTGCATGTTTTGAAAAGCCCTCTAGCCGGGTAGCTGGGCGTGGTGGCACACACCTGTAACTCCAGCACTCAGGAGGCTGAGGCAGGAGGATCTCTTAGAGTTCAAGGCCAGCCTGAACTGCATAGCGAAACCCTGTCTCAAAAAGACAAAAAAAAAAAAAAACCCTCTAGGTACCCTGATGTGTACTCAGGGTTGAGAACCACTGGATGGAACAACTCAGGTAGTTGAGCCAACCCTCCAAAAGTCAAGAGCTTCCCTCTGTCCACATAGCCAATGGTCAGGAGAAGAGAGACTGGCAAACCAGTGACTGACATTACCAGTCACCAGTGTGAAATGCAGATCACTGTAGCAGACGACCCTGAAAATACCCTGCCAGCTCTCGGCAGTGGTCACAGTGCCGCCAAAGCCCGGGAAAACCTGCACATGCCACCCGTGGGAATTCCCTCCAACAGGAGGCAGGAAATAGCTCTTCTAGCTTCCTAACCACAGAATTCCACTAACTAAAACGTGAGAAACTTAATTTCATTCAGAAATTCAGCTGATGAGAAAGTAACATTTCAAGTCAGGAAAAGATGTAGTATTTAACATAAAAAATCGGACTTTATTTTGGGGTGAGATAGTGGTATATTTGAAAAATGCATTTTGAAAGAACCAAAGATGCAGAAATAGAAGCCACAAAGGTAGGAGAAAATCTCTTGTACTATTTTTCTCAGAGTAGAGGAGGACTTCCGAAACAAACTACATCCCAAAAATCTCCAGAGGAAATGCCAGCCAATGTGACACAAAATTTATGTACAGAAAAATGCCACAAAGTCAAACCAACTGGAGAAATATTTACCATATGCAGCAAATGCTATTATGCTTCAAAAAAAAAGCATTCTTCAGGATACAAAAACATTTTTAAAAAGTAGCTATTCTACACACTAATAATGAACTAGCTGAGAAAACCAAGACAATTCCATTTGCAACAGCTCTGAGCAAAACCAACTTAATCAAAGAGGTGAAAGACCTACAAAGAAAATTACACAACACTGAAGAGAGGAACTGCAGATGCTACGAAAAGGAACGCTCTCCCTTGTACACGGATCAGCAGAATATTTTTAAAATGGCTACATTACCAAGAATGATCTACAGATGCAGGGCAATCCCCATCAAAATGCCAATGATATTCTTCACAGAACTAGGAAAAACAATCTAAAATCTATATGGGGGGTGGTGCTGGGGATTTAGCTCAGCGGCAAAACACCTGCCTGGCAAGCATGAGGTCATGAGTTCAATTCCCAGTACCGGAAAATAAAAAAATAAAAAAAATAAAAAATAAAATCTATATGGGAACACAAAGGACCTAGGACAGCCATAGTAATCCCAAGCAACAAGAGCAAGGCTGAAGGCATTACAATACTGATCTCAAATTATACTACAAAGCCACAGTAACAAGAACAGCATGGTACAGACACAAAAATAGACATGCAAACCAATGGAACACAATACAGGATGCAGAGCAAACCCACACAACTGCAGCTGCCTGACCCTGAACAAAGGAGCCAAAAACACAGCCTCTTTGAAATCAGATCCCTCTCTCTCACCCTGAACAAAAGGTCATTCAAAATGGACCAAAGTCCTAGAAGTAAGATCTGAAAGTTTGAAAGTGCTGGGCAAAAACACAGGACAAACACTTGAAGCCATAGGAACAAAGCCTTTCTCAACAGGACCCCAGTAGCACAGGAAATAATAGCAAGAATCAACACATAGGGCTGCAGCAAATCAGAAACCACCAACGGAGTGAAGAGACAGCCCCAGAATGCAGAGAACCTTTGCCAGCTCCTCTTCCAGAGGATGATGTCTGGACTACACAAAGAACCCAAAAACTTAGCACCAAAATATCCAAGGGTCTTCTACATAAACGGGCAAATGAATTGAGCAGACACCTCTCAAAAGTACAGACAGCCAATAAGTACATGAAAAAATACTCAGCATCTTTGGCCATTAGGGAAGTGCAGTGAAAACTACCCTGAGATTCCATCTCACCCCAGGCAGAATGCAGTCACCAAGAATTATGAAGACGACACACACTGGCACGGATGTGGGGGAAGGGACCCCTCCACACCGCTGGTGGGAGTGCCAGCAGGTACAGCCACTGTGGAAATCGGTGTGGAGGCTCCCCAGAAACTCTAACAGCTACCATTGGATCCATCGGTACCACTCCTTGGTACACATTTAAAAGAATTAAGGCAACATACCATAAGAGCACACGCTTGTAATCCCAACACTCGGGAGGCTGAGGCAGGAGGATCGCTGTGAGTTTGAGACCAGCCTAGGCTACAAAGTGAGCCCAAGGCCAGCCTGAACTGCAACGCGAGAACTTATCTCAAAAAAAAAAAAAAAAAAAAAAAAAAACCATACCGTAGGGATACCCGTTTACTGTGGCATGATTTATAATAGCCAAGATACCACACCAGCATAGGTACCCACCAAGAGACGAGTGAGTAAAGAAAATGCAGTACATATACTCACAGCGGAGTATTATTCAGCCACAGAGAAGAATGAAATTATGGCATTTGCAGGAAAACACACGGAGCTGGAAGTCATGTTAAGTGGAATAAGACAGGCCCAGAAAGACGAGCGTCACCTGTTGTCCCTAAAATGAGGAATCTGAAACAGATGACATGAAAGCAGAGGGAGACTACCCTTAGACAGGAGGGCTCCAGGGGAGAGGGATGTAATCAAAATACACACACATATGGGAAAAGCTGACGGCCAACCACATGCCAAAATATTTTGATGTTATGAGGTTAAACACAACATTAAAGCGCAACACAAAAGCACTCCTGCAAATCACCAGCAAGAAGACCCACACCCTAGGAAGCCAGAAAGACCGACACAGACAACTTTTCAGAAGGGAAGCTGTCGGCCATCTCGCATTGGAGAATTCAAAATGACAGCTTCTGCCTCTGCAGGGAATGTGCCAGACAGCAACACGGCTGAGGACGCGGCCCGTGCACGCGGGACCGGGGGCTAGGAACTGAGCTCTAGCGGTTTATCCACCTATCAACATCCAAACAACAAAACAGCAGACACCCTTTAATCCAACAATTTGACAGACGCGCACACACACACACTCACACACTCACACACAGCGCATTCCCTGCAGCAGCCACCAGCCGCAGGCCAACACTATCCTGCACACACAGGAGCGGAGCCATCGTGGCCTCACACGGCTGATGGATGAAAGGAGGGCGAGAACACGTGTGGACCTGAACCGACCCCACGAGAAAACAAATCAAGGCAGGGCCCAGGGCACGGGACGGCTGCCCTTGGGGAGCATGTATCACCCTGAGGAGCCCTGAGTGCCGCCACAGGGGCACGGGTGGAAGACCTGCCCTCCCAGCTCCACCGCCCCACCACCTTTCCTCCTCACCACGTACACACGTACACACGTTAACTTTTAAATAAGTGTTCGGTGGGAAAAGTAACAGTCACATTTGCGACAGGAGACATTTTTTTAACTTCGTCCATCACTTTCTGGGCTTTGTACATAGAGGGAGACCTTGAGGCCTGACGTCTGGAATTCTTGCTCCGGTTTCCCAAAAGGACACACTCCTCTGTTAAAATGTGGTCACCAGTTTTTCAGACCTGCGCCAGGGCCTGCTGGGCTCGGGAACCCCAAGGATGTCACACACGGCTTTGTACGCTGAGATGTTTGTGACAGCAGGGAGGTGTGCAGCGCAGCGGAGCCCCGTGCCAGGAGGAGCCCCACGGCTGGCCCTTGCCTGCCACGACAGGGCTGCACCCTCAGGTGACCGAGCGCTTGGCGGGGCATCCTCCTGTCCTGGGGGAGGGCGCTGCCTTGGGAAGCAGGGGTCCCCGTCTATGAGCTGTACTCTGGTTAGGCCAGATGCACAGTGAAATAAAGGTGGGGTGCAGGGTCCCATGGCATACCCAGCCCCGAAACACAGCAGCGAATGCAGGCGCCGCAGACCTGTTAGGAGTGAGGTATGGACTAAACAAAGTGATCACAGGAGCCCAATTCTCTGGACCGTAGTGGAGGCAACAGAGGGCGCGGTGCACCTACAGACTCTAAAACTGGGTCTTTCACAATGGCCGCACCAGGACCGAGTCCTCAGCTGGGTAAGGCACATCCACCCCATTGAGACGACACTGTTTTGTAGCCAATTTACAAGGCCTTCTGCTTTAGTCAGGGCACTGTCATGGGGCAGATTGCTAAGAATCCTGGCAGAGATGCAGAATCTGCACAATGCAGATTGGTTTAGAGTATGGCTTTTCTCAGGGCAAAGGATTCGATGGAAGATCGCCTTTTCATCAGATCCGCAAAGGTCAAGGTTTACAGCAAAAGACCAGAGGAAGAGGCGCAGGGCCGGAGGGCGCTCACGGATGCTTCAGCGGGGACCCTCCGGGGCAAGGCCTCGGCCTCCCGTGGTTCTTCTGGCCTGGAGCCTCCGCCCACCAAGGATGAATCACCACCACTGTGGGACCTGGCGTCTCCTGCACTCCTGCTTAGTCTCTGCTGTCCGGTCACCAGCTTCTCCTTGGGGAGCCACCCTGGGCAGGGGGTGTGCCTCAGGAGTTGGCTAGGACTCGGCAGCTGGTCCCCAGAGGCTAGAGTTCAGGCAGCACGAACAGCACTCAGCACTGGTTCACGGGACGCGCCCCATGCACCTGTCCAGCAAGCTCCTGAACCCGGGGCCCGAGAGTCCCCAACACCGGTACGAGCAATGCAAGTGTCACTCTGCTTCTCTGCCGACGGAACCCCAAACCCACACCACGTTGACTCCTTTCGAGACAGGTGAGAAGGCTGGGAACAGAGCCCTAGTGACCCACAGCTACTGAAGACCCAAGCCACACAGGGCCACTGTCCCCAACCTCTTCAGCTATTTCTCCATTAACGGGATGTTTGTGGGGTTTTTTTTTTTTAAATAAACAAACACAAATTCCATGCTGTTGGGAGCTATCTCCACAAAGCGTGTGATTCTCACCCAAAGCCTCTGCCCTCCTCCAGGCAGAACGGGCCATCGGGGACTGACTGGGGAGGGCTGGGAAGAGGTCCAGTGACCCCCTGCAGACAGCACCCTCCTTCACGGCAAGATCTCGTGTCCCCAACACCCGCTGATGCCAGCGGAGCTCCAAACGTCTCGGTGTCTTTGGATTCCACTGGTACAAAATGAACAATATGTAAGGCTAAGCTGGACTGACAAGCAGAATTTCTGGGTGGTAAACCCCCCACCAATGTACGGCATCGGAGGGATTTTTCCCGGCATGGGCTGTGTTCTGATAGAGTACATCCAGGACAACCTGGACATGGTCCGTGGGGCTCCATGTTCACGTTAAAATAACGTGGGAGGAGAGCGGGTCCGAGGACTTCACCCACTCCCAGCAGGCTGCGTGCTCTACGTATCCCAGGGCGTCCACATCCAGCTGCTCACGCGGCGGCACTGTCGCTGTCTGGGGCTTCCCGGAAGCCTTCGCTGTGGCGCGTCCGCCCGGCAGCCTCCAGCAGAGCCTGCGCCTCGGGGTCAGCGTCGAGCACACTCTTCTTACCCTGGGCCTTGGGAAGGAGGGGTGGGGGTGTTCGTGACGTGCACAGAGACCAGCAGGCCCCACAACCAGGACCGAGCACCAACTTCCCGCCGTGTGCCCGCCCATCAGAGAGGGGAGACGAGGGGCCGGGGCTCCCAGGGCCTGCCCCGCGGGGTGCAATGCTGGGAGTTACACGGTGGTGCGGGGAGTGCACGGCCAAAATGACTCCTTCAAGGAACAGCCAGGGAACCACGAGGAGCCCAAAGCTCCTGGCCTGCAGGTGCTCACGGCGCAGACCCCGACTCCTGCACATCGCACTGCCACCCAACCGCGCCCTGCCAGGACCCCGCCAGGGGAGGAACCTGGACAAACCAACTCCAGCTGCAGGACCAAGCGGTAAAGCCAAGAAGGTGCAGAAAGCTCCCCTCCACCCGCTCGGCATCCCTGCCAGACCTGTCGGGGTGCGGCACCCACCAGCTCTGACTCTGAGGGGTCTCCGACTGCCCACACCTCCATCTTCTCAAACCGGAAGTTCTCCTCGGCAGACAGCTGCGGGCTGTTGTACGTGGTACACGTGGGCTTGGCCTTGCTGTGCCCGTTCCCGAAGTCGGCATCCACCCATAGCCCGAAGTAGCCATGCTGCCCTCCCATGCCCTGCGAAGGAGTCGGCACAGCACGGCATGAGCAACCTCAGGGCCGGGAACACCAGGATGTGAAGCCTGAGACCCAGGGAAGGGCAGGGAGTGCAACTGTCTTGTTGTGGACTTCAGCCTGGATCGGCGCTACGTAAGTGTGCCATGCCACATTACTGAAACAACCACGGAACAACCACGATGTCCCCAGACACCCACAGCATAGCGCTCCGCACTCTCACGAGGCTACGCTGAAGTACAGTGGCCCCAGGCCCCGGAATGCTGCACAGGCGACACTGGACAGCCCTGCCACAGACTCTGACCCTCGGGGGGACAGGAACCTGAGTGTGGAGCACGTGGCTCCCTCGTGCTGGGTGTCAGGACAGAGGATAGCAGCAGATCGGGAAGGGCGACCTGAGTCATAGTCCTGCTATAGTCTTCCATCCCTGCTCTGGTCCCCAGGGGTCCTGGAGCACCCTGGCTCCGATTTGGGACAAGAAGAGCCCAAGCAGGAGTCTGTTGCACCTCCTTAGAGCCACGTCTGCTCCTTAGGCCTGTGACTAGCAGCTCCTGGGGACACACAGGGTCCTGCTCCAAGGATGGGGGCCTCGCCGGTATCCTTGGGTGGTCTGGTCATGCCGTCACCCCAGAGGGCAGCAACACGAAGAGGATCCCCAGCCTGCTCTAGCCAACTGAGGGCACCACCGCCCCAACCCCTGCAAGCACAGGGCTGGGGAGCCCAGCGGGAGACTGGTAGAGAAGACAGGGCTCAGGGGAGACCCAGTTCCGGCCTCAGATGGGTATCTGCCCATCAGGGTTTAGATCTAAAATGTCACCAGGAGTCCCTTGTTTGGAGGGTGACTGGATCCTGGGCATGTTGCAATAATCCATGCAGGAGCTCATGGCTGAGGTGCTGTCGGGGGGGAGCCTGGCTGGAGGTGGCCCCTGAGGTAGGACACAGAAGGGTCATGGCTCCTCGATTCTCCCTGCTGTCTGTCCACCATGCTGTGAGCAGCTCTCCTCCGCCAGGCCCCTCCACCACGCCTTCCGACCTTGGACTGAACCCTCTGGAACTGTGAGCTAAATCAACCCCTCCTTTAAGTCATGGGCGTCGGGAAAGTGACTAGAACATGGCCACTCACACCCAGCCTGCTCCACCACCAGGCCACTCAGGCCCCGCCCCTCAGCCTCCACCCTCGTCCTCTCCTTCCTGCTCCGTCACCAAGCTGAGGTGAGACCAGTCAGGGGCTGCGGTTTCCCCAGCTGGACCCTCACCGAGTCCCCACAGTCGAGGCCAGCACCCTGGGGCCCTACACCCACGTGGCATCCCAGTAACAGGTCTGTCACCAACACTACCTCAGGCCACAGAAGTCACAGACCATCTAGGGACCAGGAAGAGGCCCAAAGTCACCTTCGCATACAACCAGAGAAGCCCACCCAGGGCCTGCTGTCACAGTCCTGGCACCGAGCCCATGGCACAGTGAGGGGGCAGGGCCACAGGGGAAGCAGAATGCCACGCAGCAGATGTGCTGACGGGAGGAGGGAAGGTGCCAGGCTGTGCACCGGTGGGGGACGCTGCGCCCACACAGCCCTGCCCGCGCCTCACCAGCCCATTGGGGATGGTCTGCTGCCCATGGTTGAGGTACATGTAGTGGTCGTTGTAGCCCGTGGGTGTGTACACAGCCATGCTGGGGGTGATGGAGAACAGGAAGCACTTGCTGTCCCCTGGAAGTGACAGAGAACAAACACGGTGACTGGGTCTGAGACGGCCCTGAGGCTGGGGTGGGCACCGCGGGGGTCCCGCACTCCACACAGCATGAGCACTACAGTTGCCTGGGGCCCCGGGTGGAGGAGCTGGGGGTCCGCAGGACAGAGGCACCCACTGCATCTGAGCACTGGCCCAAGGGTCGGGGTGGCCATCCGCAAGGCAGGATGGGAGCTGGGGGAAGCAGAGCAGGAGCACAAATGCACAGCATAGAATGGGGGGCACTAGAGGCCAGGGGGACCTCGGGGAGAAGGACGGCCCTCCCTGAGAGGTCAGGGTGGGCAACACTGCAGCCTCCTGGCCAGAGCGAGCCGAGCCGCTGTGGTCAAGGTCGGGGCAGCTCGTGCAGCTGATGCACTCACCAGCCCTCGAGGCGAGCAGCAGGAGGCCAGGGACAGCCTCAGACGGGACACAGCGGGGTGGGCCCTCCGCACCCCCCGGGCACTGCAACTTGGAGAAGCACTTTGCCCTGCCATGATAAGGGCACTGCTGGTCAGCGTCTACTGGAACCCCACGCGAGGCGACCTCACAGGGCCACCACGAGGCCCACAGGCCCACGGTCACACGCTCTTCCAGACGGGACTCTGCCTACAGCGGAAGCCGCATAGGGACATCACTGTCAGGACACAGGACGAGGACCCACTGAGGCACCGCACCTGCCAAAAACCAGGCTGATGGGGAGGGCTCCCGACTGACGCTCACAGCACCGCTGCTGGTGCGACGACAGCTCTGTCCTGCCGCCTGCCCACGTGGCACTAGTGCTGAGTTCAGGGAGCTGAGGCCCAGAGCAGACGGTACCATGCCCAGGGCAAGAGCTGGGACCCATGATCCCATCCGCCGTGACACAGGCTTGGGTCACTTCAAAGCCGTCCACTCCCTCAACACCGCAGACCAGGGCCACCGTGCTCTGACTGATGCGCACCCTGGCTGGGCCACCCGCAGGGCAAGCTGACCTCTGCTGGGGCCACTTCCGCACACCACAAACGAGGCCTGCATAGGCCTGCACTCAGCAGGAAGGTAAGCTGCCCACCAGCAACACCGTGGGACCAGCAGAGTCTGGAGCTGAAGTCGGTGGCTCTGGGAGTGACAGCAGCCCCGCCTGCGGTCATGATTCTTGGGGCTTGTTCGTGTCCTGAGGTCACACAGCCTCTGTCAGGCAGAGAAGCCTGAGGCAACAGCTTAACCCAGAAAGGCTGCCTACAAGGTCAGCCAGCATCCAGGAACCTGGATCTGGGGAGGGTTCCCGCCGTTCCCAGAGAGAAAGATCCAGCACGTGCTGAAACCTACAATGAATCGAGCAGACCGCGGGGACAAAGGCACTGACCCTGACCCTTCCCCTCCGGGGTCTTCTCATCCAGGCAAGAGGTCATGCAAGATTCCAGTGGAGCCGCAACACCGAGGGGGCAGAGGGGGCAGTGAAAACGCGTTCGTCTCATCTCCCCGCCCCTCCCAGGGACAGGGCTTCCTGCCTCACCTTGAAACTGCGGCTTGACCTCCCAGGAGCAGGAGGAGAAGCCCCCGAACACGTGGCCGCCGCGGTCCTCCAGCAGGGCCAGGCAGGGCCCGCGGTGCGTGACACGGCCGCACAGCTGCGAGAAGCTCTGTCCGTGCAGGTGGGAGGCGAAGAGCAGGCGCCAGCGCTGCCGCTGCTCGGGGGTCAGGTGGGAGCTGAGGAAGATGACGGTGAGCACGTCCAGCAGGCTCTCCAGCTCCCGGCCCGGCTCCACCTGGCGCTCGGGGACCAGCGTGGCCAGGTCAAGGGACCCTCGTAAGACAAGAAGGCCCCCGTGGATGACCACGCGCAGGAACAGGGCCACGTGGGGGACCCTGAAGACCCAGTCCTCGATCACAGCTCGGTCACAGTCGCTGTCCAGCCACTGCGGCCCCTGAGGCCTCTCACCACCTAGGGGAAGGGAAGTCAGCGTCACTGGGGTAGGCGTCACCTGGCAGTGACCGCCTAATCCCGCCTCAGCCAACTCAGGAGGCACGAATCACACGTGACCTAAACACGTGGCCGACGGCTCGTCGGAACTGAGAGGCACTCCGCACACACCAATTCCAACCAATTTTCAGTATGAAAAATGACTGCAAGATATCTCAGTACTTTTTTTTTAAAACACTGATTGCATGTTAAAATTGAGAAAGCTTAGAGCTGGGCGTGGTGGTGCACGCCTGTAATCCCAGAACTAAGGAGGCTGAGGCAGGAGAATTGTGAGTTCGAAACCAGCCTGGGCTACAAAGTGAGCTCAGTGCCAGCCTGAACTACATAGCGAGACCTTGTCTCAAAAAGACAAAAAAAAAAAAAGAAAACTGAGAAAGCTTCAGCTAGACTGACCAGGGAAAAGAGAGAGAAGACTCAAGCCAAGACAGAAGCTGGGCCGTCACAGCTGCTCCTGCAGAAACAAAGGATTCTAAGGAAATCCCACGTCGTGGGGCAAGGTCGCGGGCACTCACTTCCTGTCTCTAAGCCACACCTCAGCTATACTAACGGACACCCAGCAGGTGACGCCAAGGTCCACACCGCCCGGGGCCACGCTTACCTGGAAGCTTCATCTCGGAAACGAGCTGGGCGGCCAGGGCCTGCGTCCTGACGGGGGCGCCCGTGGCCTTCCCAGCCCAGCCGCGCAGCTCCTGCCTGTGTGTCAGCACGTGTACCACAGAGTCCACCAGGTCCTCTGCGAACTGCAAGGGCACAGTGGCACCAGGAGTCACAGTTCCGCCACGACCCGAGCCCTGCCCCACGCCGCCAGGGGACAGGCACTTTCCTCTCTAACACCCACTGTGACGACGGCCAGCGTGTGTGGGAGAGGGCGCCCCAGGGGTGAGTAACTCGGAGGTTTCACCAAAGCCTCCGTCCCGGAAATCTGACGTCCACCAGTCACGCGCCCAGGGCTCCCCACAGCTGGACGTCTCCGAAACGCCCCCTCCCGTCTGCTGTCACTGTCCCGAGCCCCGCCCAGGACACCGAGGCTGACCTTCTGCACTTCTCGGGCTTTCACAGGCCCTTCCGCGGCAGAAATCATGCTCAGGACCACGGGGCTCTTCTCCTCGGAGCTTCCTCTCAGCAGGCGCCACATCCAGACGGAGAACTGCTCCCGCGAGACAGCCCCGCTGGGCCCCGGCGGCCTCCCGGCCGGGTCCCCCCACCACATGCTGTCATAGAGTCTGCTGACCATTTCTGGGGGCAGCGCTTCCCCAACATGGCTCTGCTGGGGACAAGCGGGAGAAAGGGCTGGAGAGGGCGGGGTCCAAGCTGGTGTCCTGGGAAAACACGCAGGACCAAGGCCCCCTACCCCATGGAGGCCTCCAGCAGCTACGTGACCTCCCTGTGCCCCGTTCCGTGCCCCTGCCAGACCCACATCCTGGAAGTGTCCCGGCTCGTCCTGGCAACCAGACCCTTCCTGCTCATTCCCATCCTGTCTTCCCCACTTTCCAGTCTCCCCGGCAACCACATCCCTCCCGCCCGTGGCCACCTGCTCATCACTCTGCCCAGAGCACCGCTCCGCAGACTCCCGAGCCGCCGTGCGCCCCTCTGACATGTCAGCACCCTCAGTGTCTGCGCAGGGCGGCTGCCCTCTCCCAGGAACTTCTAAGTGTATCCCACTTTGACTTCTTAGCGCAGCTCTGACAGCGCATACACATTTTAACTATTCTCACTGAAATCTTAACTTAATTCTCAACAGCTTCAACAGTAACATTCTGTAAATGCTGTTTTCCTTTTGGCCTCCTGCATCAGATCTGATTTGGCCCAGGGATGACAAATCAGCGGGAGGAGCATGAGGCACAAACGCCACCACGAAGTCCCTGCGAATCGCGGTCTCTCCAACAGCTGGCGGCCACAGTGCCGGCACTCTACGGTTCCCGTAGTGCACGCTGCATACTCCCCGAAGCACCTCCCCACGTCTGTGGTGTTTCCAACCTTCCCTGCCAGGCAGCCTCTAATTCCTTCCTAGCTCAAAGCAGAGCCAAGGACCCCTGGTCCTCTCCCAGCCGCGTGTCCTGCTACCGGCTTGCGGGCTTGGTGCCCCCCCTGCTGGGCGGGGTGCACTTGTGCAGCTGTGGGTGAGGCCCCAGGCCTTGCACTGCTGACCTGGAGACACGTGTACATACATTCAGCTGTGACTCCCAAGCCCCCTGGCAGTTCCTCATCTGCAAAAGCAGCACGGTGGGGGGAGCCCTGTGCCCCCCATCACTGCCGTCTGCACATCCAGAAGATGGGCTGGCAGAGCGACGGCACCCCCACCCCTCCGGGGATGGAGCGGAAGTCTCACCCGTGTCCTGCTCAGCCAGAGCCCTGGAACATGAGCTCAGAACCCCCAGAACGGGGCCAAAACATGGGAACGGGCAGTTGCAACTCTGTGAGGCAAGCCTTGAAGGCGAGGCTCGAGCACTGCACTCGGTGCCCCATCAAATTCCTTCGTGTCAGACCCGATCCGAGGGGCGACGGTGCACCTGAGACACCATGGTCACTTGAGCCGGGCAGGCCCAGCTCCCGGCGGTCACCCAGACTCCGGGACGGCAGCCAGGAGACATGGGGCCGCAGGGACAGGAGCCAGTGGGCTCTCTGGTGTCAGCTCGAGGTAGAGATGCTCAGAAGCATGGCCCTCGCGCTCCACCCTGAGCTCCTTTCTCTAGTACAGACTGGACACTGCTGATTTCAGGAGCGGGAGGGCCCGTTCAGACGTCATGGACGGCTGCTCTTTGCACTGCCAGGGCAGAGTAACTGCGACAGGAACTACTCGGACCACAAAGCCACAACCACGAGCCACCTGGCCCTGCAGAGAGCCGCTTCTCGGGGCCCCCCTTGGCCCGAGGGCCACAGTTTGCAGACCCCGGCCCCACACCGGCCTGAGCAACAGTGTCGTTCTTGCCTGCAGAGCCTTCAGTGAGAAGGAGCGGGGCGGGGTCTCCGCGCCGTCCGCAGCCGACGACAGCGCGTCAAACAACCTGTCGATCTCGGCCTGCTCCTCCGGGAGAAACCGGGAGCACAGGCTCCTCGCCGAGCGGCTCCGGCTGTTCCCCATGGCTCCTTGTCCCAGGGAGACTTTTCTGGGAGAGGAAGAGAGACAGTCAGAGAGGAAAGGCGGCACACGGCAAGCATGATCACGAGGGAAAGCACTGCGGCTGCAGCCCAGGTACCAGAGCAGACTTGGGGGGCGACGTGGCCCCAGTGCAGCAGACCCACAGGGCGCGGCCTCTGCGTGGCGGGGCCAACAGCGGACAAGAAGGGGCACCACACCCGGACCCCGGGGTCTACCAGAGCAGGCACCTAGGCCTCGGGCGTGGAGAACGCCACACCCCGGCCCATGGAACTGCGTGGGGGCATTTTAATCAATCCAAACTTTCACTGCTTTAAAAACCCAGTGCGGGGGCGTGGTGCGGGGGCACCTGGGCTGCTCAGGGATGAGGCCGGCAGCAGGGAGCGCAAGGAGGGACCCCACCGCGCACACCTCCAGGGAAAGCGGTGCCTCGTGCTTTGCTGTCCCTCCCGTCTGTGAGCGGACAGTCACCTGACCCAGAGTTCTCCATCTTAAACTGTACGGTTTGGTGGCGTTCAGTACATTTGCAATGTTGATAACAACCACTTTCACCTGGTGCCAAAAGTCACCCTTTTGTCACCCTGTGGGAAGCCCCAACAACCCCGCTGCCATCTCCGGCCACGCCCCCTCCCCCACCATGGCCCCCACAAATCTACCTTCCATCCCTGGCTTTCCCTACACCGGACATTTCGCATCGATGGCTTCTGTCACTCGGGTTCACGTTTCCCGGGCCCACCGTGGCGCAGCCAGCCTGCGGTTCCCCCGTGCGAGCTGCCTGGTATCCTTACAGCTGGCTGGCATCTCTCGGTAGGGACACAGGACATGCCCCACCGTGCCCATTGGCAGCCGATGATCATGTGGACTTTCCCCGCCTCTGGCTGTTAGGGAGACTGCTGCGTCCGACCTGGGCGCACATGAGTCCCACAGGTCTCACGGCCTTGAGGCTGGCACCGGCCCGAGGGTCACTGGCTCCCACGGTGACCCCCTACGCTTGCTGTCTGGAGCACCCAGCTTTTCTCCACGCTCAGCCTCTCTTCCTTGTGTCCTGCCTGGCTCGCTGTTGCTATGGCTGTCTTTTAATTGAGGTCATCCCTGCAGGAAAACCTGCTTTCACCCGCCTCCCTCCTGATGTCCCCCACAGCGGCCCGCAGAGGGCGCCTACGAGCAGGACCAGCCTGGCCCAGAGCTGTCACTCGGGGGCCACCGGATCTCAGGGTTCAAGTTTCTCAGCCACAGAAGAGCCAAGAAGGGCACCCCCTGGCCAGGCTCGGTGCCCAGCAGCTTCCTCTTGGAAGCGGGGGTGCCCCTGGGCCAGAGGGTAGGGGTGGCCACACGGCCTACTCCTTGCCCTACGGATCAATACTGCCACAGAGAACCCAATCAGGACAGGAGTTCTCGGAACACGAGTTTTAAATGTCCACTGATTTGCCCGGCGTGGTGGCACACGCCTGTAATCCCAGCACTCGGGAGGCTGAGGCAGGAGGATCATTGCAAGCTCGAGACCAGCCTGGGTTACAAAGTGAGCTCAAGGCCAGCCTGAACTGTATAGCAAGACCCTATCTCAAAAAGTAGAAAAAAAAAAAAGTCCACTGAATGAAGGGGGCCGAGGAGGGTGTGGCCAGCGGACAGGCTTCAGCTTCAGTCAGAGAAGAGGCAGCCCAGCTCTTAGGGAGTCGGGGCTCAAGAGCTCCTAATTTGTGTGAATTTGCCAAGTCACCCGGAAATGCGCAGAGCGCTGCTGAAACGCAGCAGAAGCAGCAAAAGGTGCACTGCGTCTAACTTCCGCCCCAAAGCATGGCACCACATCACCTCCGCTGGACCCCAGCCTACGACATGGAGGACTTCGAGTCACCCATGTCTTCGAGTCACCCACAGCAGGCACAGCCCTGTGGGAAAAACCGGACCCTTGCCGCGGCAGCAGCCAGGCCCACCCCGGGCAAGCCCCCAGCGCCACCCGCACACCACGGGGTCCACTCGGGCCCCAGCTTCAAGCCCTCTGGGGCAGCGTCCCCTCCACTCCCGCCAGCCGGGGCACTTTCCTCTTCACCCTGCCAGCCTCTGGCTTCCTGGACTGCGGCTCCCTAGGAGCCCGGGACCTCAGCCCCGGGACAAGCACAGCCCCTGGAGCAGCCGCCCAACCCCTGGCTGTCCTGCAGCTGCCTCACCGGGAACTTGGTGGAGCCCTCTCTCTTCTCAGGGTCCCCCCACAAGAGGCCCCCGCGCGGGCCAGCCCCTGCCTGGGAGTGAGCGCCGCTCCCCCTCCTTCTCTGTCTTCCGCCCCAAAGCACCTCTTCCCCAGCCACTCCTGACCCTGCTCAGACGCAGGCCGCACGCCATGCCCAGCCCCCCGTCCCGGAGGCCACCCCAGGGCGTCCTGGTGCAGTGCAGCTCCCCCAGGCCTCGGGCCCATCAGGAGCCCGGGGACAGCATTACCCACTCTTCCACACCCCACCCGGCCCGGGCTCCAGCAGCCTGAGTGTGCAGCCCACCAGTGCCAGGCAGGCGGGCACTCGGCACGTGACGGACAGGTCTGCTAGGCCACTGGCCTTGAGGGGAAACAAGCCCAGAGCCACCAGGGAAGGCAGCAAGGACGGTAAGAGCCAGCGCCAGCGCCAGCCCCTTCAATACACAAACCCACTTCTCCACGCAAAACAGAGCAATCACTCTCAGGGAAGAGAGCCGCCCTCACATCCACCAAGGAATCTGTGTGTCCAGTGGCCGTGCTACAAAGAGGCCACCAGTCCGCCTCCTTCCCGACACCATTCATTCAACTGCCCACATCCCTTGGGCCAGGCCCCAGTCGAGGGGGCTGCGGCCAACACAGAAGTCCAGTGGGATGGGAGTCCCCAGGCACCAGGACACCGCACCCAGGTCGTGTTCAGGCTGTGCTGCGCCCCGGAAGTGGGAGCTAGGGAGGCGGGGCTGAGGACCCTGGGGACACAGGGGTAGCAGAGGGGGTCACAGAGGGCAGGGACGCTCTTCCACCTCTACCCAGCCCCGTCCTCTACGCCCCTAGGAACAGCTGCTCCTCACGGCCTGCAGACAGCAGCCTGAGTAGCCCACCAGACCTCTGCGGGGCCGAAGCGGCTATGGGAAAGGAACAGGCCGGGGAAGCAGCCGCAGGAAGGACAGTCGGTGAGAGGGCGGGGCCGGGGCTGCCCCAGAACACAACCGTCCGCTGTACCTCCAGCCTCGGCACCTGAGGAGCACCTCCATGCAGTGGAGGACCGCTGCATGGCTACATCCGCCAACAGCGGGGGACAGGGGGACACGGCTCCAACTCCTCCCGGCCCCACCCCGGACCAGGCCCAAATCTCTTCCGTCCACTGTGGAGGAAGTGAAGCCTCTGGTGTGTCCCTCCCTCCGCAAGCAAGTCCCTGACCTTCCTGCGCCTGACCAGCTTTCTGTGTCACCCTGGCACACGGGCCAGCCTGGCAGCTCCCACATGGAATCATCCAGAGGCTCCCCTCGGTGTTACGTTGAAGGGTACGTCAGGATTGCTGGTACCGGCGGGTCACAACTGGAGGCAGTTCTGTCCCGCACAGCACACGACAACGTCCGGGACATGGTGGTTGTCATCAGCGGGAGGGAGACTGGCATCTGGGGAGCAGAGGCCAGGGCTGCTGCTAAATGTCCTACAATGCACAGCAGAACCCCATGACAAGCCTGCACCCCGAGAGCCAGCAGGGCCCAAAGACAGAAGCCATGGCCTCGGAGGACACAGGGCGGGGGTGAGCAGGAGGGGACCCCCAGAAGGACACCGATATTCACGACCCTGCTGCTCCCACACACGGGCCCAGCTCTGCAGTTAGGACGTAAACAAACGCTGGCAGATCTGAGTTCACATCGTGACCCTCGGTTTTACCACTGTGGGCAACTTGCTATATTAATTTCAAACCTTAATAAAATAGTGGGTCCGAGCCAGGTGTGGTGGCGCGTACCTGTAATCCCAGCACTCAGGAGGCTGAGGCAAGAGGATTGCTGTGAGTTCAAGGCTAGCCTGGACTATAGAGTGAGACCCTGTCTCCAAAAAAAATCTCTTCAATAAAACAGTAGGTCCAATGGCCCACAAAAAGTGACAAAGACCTTTTGCTTGACCGCACTTTAGTCAGGCTCCTAACCCATTTCAGCAAGAACCCTCATCCTCAGTAGCCGACCACCCTCATGAGCTATCCAGCTCTGCATACACTGCCGCCCCCAGGGGACAGCCAGTCACCCTGGCCTGTCTTCCGAGGGAATTCTGTCAGGTGAGCCTAGCCAGAGTCCCCTGACACCGCTACTTCCGCTTCAGGTGTGTTCCTTCCTGACCCCCACTCTGCCTAGGGCCCAGCTCTGCCCTCTAACTATGGCCGGGTCCTAAATGACATCCACCTTGACATGCCTTAAGGGGTCAGTGAGTCACTTCCTGAGCTTCAAGTATGGAGCAATCCAGGAAACCGAGGCCGCATTCCTGAGCCAAAGCCAGAAACACAGGGCCCAAGACAAGCACGGCCACTCCAGACACCACCCGCTCGGAAGGAACTGCTGCCTGCTCCCACCGTCCTTCCAGGGAGGCGGCCACGGTGCCCGATGGGGTGGAGGATGCCCTGCGCCTCCCCACTCCCCCCGAGAGGCCAGGCCGTCATCCTTAGAGCCCTCAGCGTGGCCCTCAGCGTCCCTTTTCTGGGGACACAGAGGGGCTTCTGGTCCCGTTTAGGGGCAGCGTGAGCCCGGGCAGGAGCTCCTGCCTGCATCCCAGCTCAGCCCCGGCTGCCCTGACCGTGGACTCAGCAGCTGCACTCTGCAGCTCTCCGCCTCCAGCACCCACCCCTCCCAGCACTCAGGAGGCTGAGGCAAGAGGACTGCTGCGAGTTCAAGGCTAGCCTGACTATAGAGTGAGACCCTGTCTCCAAAACAAACCTCTTAAATAAAATAGTAGGTCTAACGGCCCACAAAAAATGACACTTTTTGCTTGACCGCACTTTAGTCAGGCTCCTAACCCATTTCAGCAAGAACCTTCATCCTCCGTAGCCGACCACCCTTTGTGATAAAACCCCTCCCGCAGACGCCCGCTTCCTTCCCGTGCCCGCCCCCTCCGCCAGCTGGCTTGGGCCCTGGAGAAGGCACCTCTGGTCCCTAAGGGGACCGCACACATGGCAGAGCCAGGAGTGCTGTGTGTTCCCAGGGACGGCGGGAAGGCCGTCCTCCTTCCCTCGACCTACGACAGACGCCGCCCGCCCTCAGCTCCGCTCACCCGGCCTGCGCCCGCACACACGCCTCTCTTCCTTCCGGTCCACGTCCAGCAGCCTGGGAATTTCCCTTCGGGTACCGCCCCTGCCCGTTCCCAGGCAACGGCGCTGACGGGCGGAGCTGTACTCCAATCATGGAAGACGGCTCGGGGGGGTCGGGGCCCCGAAGCTATGTCGGCCAATGGCGATGCAGATCAGGGGGAGTGGGCGGGCTGCGGGCGGAGTAGGCGGGGCCGAGTACCCCGGACCTTGCAGAGAGTGGCCGTGGAGGATGCCAGCTCACCGGACCGGGCGGCAGAGGGTGGAGAGGAGCTGGGCTCGGGGAAAGCGACTGGGTGCGGGTGGGAAGCGCCTGGGTGGGAGCACGCCGAGGCCTGGAGCCATCCAGGTCCTCCCAGCACCAGCTGTCCTCCCGACCCCCTCTTCCTCTCTGCCCTCGCCATTCCCCGTGAAACGTCCCTCCAGTGCTTCTCCTTCTGTGCATTGCGCAAGCCCACCGCAGGCGAGGCCCGGTGTTACAGGCAGCTGAGTTAGATAATGTTATAGGCAGCTAGACGGGGCCAGGCCCTCCAAGGAGCCGGTATGGAAGACAAGATAACTTGCAAATGGAGAGCTTCAGGCCAGATCTCAAGACCAAAGATTAAACAAACACACCCACTTACCTCCCTAGGGAGGGACCTCAGGGATTGATACTCTAAATAGGTAGCGATCCCCTTGAAGAGTCCCTGACCCAGCCCCTTACCGGAAAAGCCCCTGTTCTGTATTCATCCTGCTTGCTACATGACTCGCTTCCACATTTGATCCCAATTTAGTCAATTTTACTTGAACAGTTCTGATTGGCTGACCATAGTTTTGTCCATTTTTCCCCTACCTTGGACCCACCTCACCTCGTGGTTTTGTTCTATAAAAGTCCCTAGAAAAGACAGAGTCCGGGGTAACCCGCCCGGGGCCCGCCTTCTGTCCCTGTCTTGGACAGAGGCTTTCTTTCCCTCAATAAATATAGTCTGCTCTTAACCTCCGTTGTTCCTAAAATTCATTCTTCCATTTTAGAGAACACACTCGGGAGCTGTATTTTCCTGTGTCACCGGGACCCTGTCACCAACACCCAGGGGCACGGCCATCCTCGCAGCCAGCCTGGAGCTGGTGCCCCTGCCCCTCGTTCACTGTGGCTCTCTCCGAAGAGCCCCCTTGCTCGGAGCTGGCTGTCCCTTTCTCTCCCAGGTGCTTCCGCTGGGCCTCTGCACCC